ATCAGCTGACGCATAGATGGGCTGCTCTGCTGGCGCGCGCGGTCGCGCACACGTGCAGCGCGTTCGTCTGCTAGCTGGCTGTGCGCGACTACTCAGCAGCGGCATGCGCACCAACGCTATAACGCTGCGTTGGATCTCTCTCTACCTTTTTCCTCGTCATTTATAAAGCACACGCAGAGCAGCGGCGGCAGCAGCAGCAGCAGCGGCAGCAGCAGCAGCAGCAGCATCAGCGACAGCGGCAGCAGCAGCAGCAGCAGCGCGGCAGAGCGGCAGAGCGGCAGCGAGTCGCCGTACACACTGGCTGCGCGCGCAGTGTCGCCCTGGCCCACTGACCTATATTCGCAGGAGGCAAACTATATGCTCGCTCGCAGGCGAGCAGCTCGTTACCACAGCCGTCCCGCATGTGCTCTCAGTCAGTCGCGCGCGACCACGCCGAGAGGACAGCGTCCGCGCGTCTCCTCCCTCCCTCCGTCGTCGCGCCTCGGGTCCGCTCGCCTCGCCTGCGCGGCGCGCGCAGGTGAAAGTCGACGTCGCCGTCGCCGCGCGCGCGCGGGCGCGCGAGAGGCAAGATCAAGTGCTGCTGCGGCCGCCGCCGCCGCCGCCGCCGCCGCCGCCGCCGCCGCCGCCGCCGCTGCTGCTGCCGAGGAAGAGCATCGGACGCGCGTGCAGTGTGTCAGTGTGCGCGGCCGGTGCGTGGGAGGCGGCGCACTCGCACTCTCTCCGCTGCTGCTGTCCGTCTGCGTGCGTCGCCGTGCGCGAGTGCTGTGATGCAAGCCCGCCGAGCGAGCTGTTACGTCGTGCCACTGCCGATGACGTCGCGCCTCGCGCGTTAGTAGCTCCCTCTCTTTTGTGCGAGCGCCAGGCTGCCGCGTCTCGTCCTCGCGCGGCGCGCTCTTCCCGATCGAATCAGCTGTGCGCCTCCGGTCGTCCTGCTCGGTCGCGCCGAGCGAGCTGTGGCTGCGCGCGTGGCCGAGTCCTCGCGCGCGCGGGTCGCTAAGCGCATGTCCCGTGCCGGAGTCGGGTTATCGATTCGGCGCTCGCCACCGCTCGCGCCAGCCCGCGGCCCCGCTCCCGCGCTCGCCCCGGCTGAACTCGCCTGCCTGCCTGCCTGCCTGCCTGCCTGCGCTTCCTCGCTCGCGCCGTCGCCATCCCGGATGACGGCGACCCGCCGCGCCGCTCTCGGGCCGAACTTGGTCGATGGGAGTCAGCTGTCGCGGACAGCGCTCTCGCGGGCACGCGCGCACGCCCGCACGCCGAGCCGCCCCACGTGGCCACGCTGCGGTGTCGAAGCATCCAGTGACGTGTGCGCGCCAGCTTCTTCCTCGTTATCCAATCGGTCATAGCTAAGAAGAAGATCTGCAAGGCTTTGCTCGCTCGTTGCGTGCTGATTTTGGCGGTGGTCTGGCGATGATAATTTTTTCTTAATTTTTGTGGGTCAAAGGCGGCACTTGGTCTTTCACCTATGTCGTACATTTATATGTACATACGTACGCACACAAGTTGGAAATTTAAAGTCCTCGCTGGACTATTGTCTTCGGTTATTACAACGCGCTCGCGTGGAACGCGCTTCGTTGTCGTCACGTGCCCAAGTTTGTATGACGATTCACGTTTTCCAATTACCTTCATTAGATTGGATAACTCTTGCGACTCGTCGGGAGAAAGCGCGCGGCGCTCCGTAGCGGCGTTCTTGAACGAGCTCGTCTCGCAAATTTCAATTTTTGAAAATCATCGCTCGCTCGCGTCTTCTTTTTTTTCATCGGCGTTGCTGCGAGCTATGACGGCGCGTACACGGACGAAATATTCCAATAAGAGGCATTCGTCAGCGCAGAAACGATCGCAATACACGTGCAACGTAGCCAAAGAGGCGTATACTTTTTTTATGCGAGAGCTCCACTTACGGATCAATAAAACGTGCGCGCGCCCGTGTGTTTTTGCCCGGCGCGTTAGACTTGGCGCGATGTACATAGACGCGATGATAGGTAGAAAAGAAGTTCGATGCGTATGCCGTTGAAATGAAATATAAAGCAGGCTTGGCGACGCTCGTCGCGTCAGTGCCCTTTGCAAATAAAAACGAACTCGGACGGCGCTGAGTTCGACATCTTGGTATGAATGTTCAGCATAGCTTGATCGTCACCGCGATGCTCGCGACAGACCAACGTAGATGAAGACGTGCTCCGGAAAGAAAGAAAGAAAAGCCAGTTCATTCGGATATGATAAGTTTGAAAGGAAACAAGCTCAGGCTTCGTTCTTTCTCTGTCTCTCTCTCTCTCTCTCGACTGCAACAATTATTTATTCCAGGAAGGGACGGAGCGCGCCTCTTTCGTCGCCTCATTTACATCATAAAGAGCGCCTGCGATATAAAACTATATACGTACGTGGAAAGGTCGTAAAACAATGTAGCTTCTTTTCTTTTTTCGAGATGATTCACGATTGAGGAAAAAAATTGTCGACTTTTACTGTTGCTTCCGGACTCGCGTTGCATGCGCGTGCTTTCTCGTTGCGCCACTTGCTTTCCTGCTTCATTAGCAAGAAAGCAAGTGGTGTATGCGTTACCAAGCTAGCCAGCGCGCATGCGCCTCGTCGCGAATTAGATGCGGTGAATGGAAGGGCCTTCAATATTCCTACGGCTGCGTGCGCGAAGGGAAAAGTCGACTGTGCCCGCGAGCTAATCGTCATTCGTCTCGGCGCCTCGGATCGTTTCGCTCGCTGTTTTGCTCTGCCTACTCTGCATTTCCGCGTCAGATGCACGGCCACGCAGTCGATGATTAAATATTGGATCCAATTTATGAATTGTCTGATTCCAAAAATCTCTTATGAGACTGCGCGTGCAAATATCGTCGCGACTCGGCAAACGACATCATGCCTTTCTTTCTCATTCAGATCTGATTACACAATTCCGTTCCGAGTATTTTGTTGTTATTCTAATACTTAGTTTGCGTTTCTACTGATTTCGATAAAGTGAAAGATCGCATTCGTGTGTACATTATGCCATATATATTTATCTTCATCAAAAATCTTATCGAAATAAAGCGAACTATAGTTTCGTTGAAACGACAATAATCAAGGTAGCGGGTACACTTATCGCTGGAGACTCTTAGTTAATCGAACAATCGAAATTTCCGTAAAGAATTAGGCTACACTCGAATTTATTATTTGAATACTAGAAGCGAATGATTACGTTACAATCTTGGCCTTTTCTACTGCCATTTCTTGGAAAAAGAGGAAGAAGAAGAGAACGGGGACAAAATGAGACTACTCGGAAAATAATCGCGTCTTTGCAATCTGGCAGTAATTTGGCGAGAGAGAAATGGTCGTGGCGACACGCACGAAAAGGTGCGACGAATCGGAAAGAAGCGCGTGCGACGATGAAGATTCTCTTTCTTTGCGCGTTCGCGAAGGAAGAAGCTTATCAGATGACAGCTCAAATGAGCCTGCATATCTACGTGCTTCACTCTTTTCTTCTGTTCCTCCTGCGTCGTCCACGTGGCCCGCTTATGTGAACCGTGTCATGGTTGCAATTCTCGTGCGACGTTTTTTTTGTTTTTTTCTTTGTTTTTCTTTTCATCTTATACGCCTTCTTCATCCCTTCTGCTCTGATAGAATTAACGCTTCTTGCGAGATTGTGAGACAGCTTTCTCTTTTCGTTTTTTGCTCGTTTTAAAACGCCACGTAATTGACTTCGAGGGAACACACTTCGCACTTTCAATTAAAAAGTCGGCGTTTGTTGAAGCAGCTCAGTTGTATGTTGCCAATAAATTATGTGCATATTTTATATTGATGAAACTTAAGTAAATACTGCTTGTTTTAATGGAATTTGATCTATTCGGAATCGCCAATATCAACGTCGACAGTCGAGTTGTGGTGATAATCATTGTTTTATACGATGAACGCGAATGAATTTGTCAATAGATTCCACATTTGATGAAAGCGTACATCATTCACAGGAGCCATGTGTGATCAAACTAGATCATAAAATTCGGTTTTCAAAGCAATGCCTTTCGACGGCAATCATTATCGCTGCTCTCACGTCCTTGTTTGCCAAAGATATTATTTTTAAGTGTAAAGCACTCAAAGCCTACGAATGAAGGCACCAAATTGTTTGAAACACAATGAACACTGGTCAAATAAATTGGCGGGTAGTTTCTCGAAATCATTCGTCCCTCATTGAAAACTTCCATTTTGAATCGCGTTTAGCTATCTAACGAAATTAAAAGCCGTTCGCGATGCATTTTCCAAATGTGTAAATGAGGTCGTGAACGGCAGGAAAAACAGGCCAGGAGAAAAATTAGAACTTTGAAAGACTACTGGACACTCGATACATAATAATTCTTGTTTCACTATTGGTGCTGATATTAACATGAAGCGTTCATCGAGTCGCGAAAAATATTTCTGCTGGCGTATGGCATAAGAGTTTGCGATACGTTCGAGCGTGAGCGAGTATATCTTGCAATCTTGGTTTGTGATTACATTTTGCATGATTTATTGGCGCTCGAGAGAAAAAAACCCCGGTCGTCGTGTTATAATGTATCGAAACAATGCCGTAACTCTTTCTCACTGTTATCAGTGCAACACTCCCAACTGCTTTTGCCGCCGACAACTGACTATTAATCCAATATATCTCGTATTAATATTCAGAAACACACGTCAAGTTTCTCCTCCGAGACGCAAAGTCAGCTTAATTAACGTAAAGAAGAAAGGAACAGATAATGTTCGTCTCATCAAGGCCTCGACACGGAAAATCGGTAAAAGCGCGCAGCGAGAGAGATCGACCCGTCACTGTCATAACATATTCCGAATCACTTTTCGAGCTTGGCACGTCAACGACAACGACCACGTTGTATTTAATTTGAGTGCGAAGCGAAATGTTGTATAATCGATTGTTATCGCTTAACAGCGCTCGACGCTAGTCTCGCGACAAATCGGCTTCTATAAATAGTCGTATTTTCTCCAATTTCTCACTTCTGATCATCCAGTGCTAATTGTGCAACGTTTACTTACAGGCCTGGCCCGTGTGACCTGCAGGACCCATTGTGGGTCAAAATGAACGCGATCACTGGTAATATCACGAAGAAGAGAAAGAAATCAGATGCCAAGCCTCAGTCGCAAATGTGAGTACACGCCTTTTTCGATTTTTTTCGATTGTTAAACGATCATTGGATTCGCAATTCGCGATGATTTCTCGCGAAAAATTATTACTTCGCCGAATCAAACGTTCGATCGTTTAGACGCAAGAATTTTCGAGGCTCGCGTTTCATCGAGCTGAGCGTGTGTGTTGATACTTTTGCGACAGCCGTAATTGCGTCATTTATCATGATCACCGCCCCCCCCCCTCTCCCGCTCTCTCTCTCTTTCTCTCTCTCTCTCTCTCTCTCTCTCTCTCTCTCTATTTTTTTTCACCAGCGCTTAAACTTAATCGGAAATACGATTATATGGCTATTTGTCAAAATGGCAAACGACGCGTAACACAAAAGCCTGCGCTCGTCGACGAAAATTACTTTTGCACATCAAACACGTATTTACAATGGGAATGATTGATCGATAGGTATTCATTGTAATAGTTTTTCTTGCATAAAACGGAGAGGCGAAGTAAACATTTATGAATTGACATTAATTATGAACACACCAATAACCCGCAAGCAAACAAACGTATACATCGTCTATTTGAGTATATACTCTTGTACTTTCGGGAGTGTCTACGAGGGGGATATTCCTTTACCTTCGAAAAAAAAAATTAACACGGGTCACGCCATTATTTATTCACTTGACAGAGTTGCCATTTTGCCACTGTCTATGATTAAAAGAGTGGATCAAATTTATGAAGGACTCATTGTTGATTCAACATTTTTTGGAAATGAAGTTGCGTAGTAAATGGAATTGACGCATCAATAAAAATCGCAATTAGTCAAAGTAAAAATAATTAAATCTTTCGCAATATTTCTTTGAAAAGTATTTCGACTGCGGGATAAAAAAGAAAATATAAATTTGACGTTGAATCTCGAGCAAAGGCAAACATGAAATAAACTCGGTAATTCGATAAAAAGCCATCTATGTCCTCGTCGCGGGCCGCGCATTCGGAAATAAATAAAATTCGATAATAAATTTCCCTTGTAGCTGTAGCAGGCAGTTTACAAATCTATATATATATAAATATATATATATATATACACACGCACGCGCGCGCGCGCGCACACGTAAGGAGGTGTTGAAGGACAGTCCTCATAGGCGGTTGAGGCAGCTTCGCGGGGAGCGAGCGAAAAGTGCATTGATATATAGTTGCATTATCAACGGGCTTCGGTACGTTCCTCCGAGATAAGATAAGACGGTGCTCGCTATGTACAAGTCTCATGCGTCGCCCGCTACTCCGTTCTGTGTTGAAGCGCGTTCTCCTTTCTCTCTCTTTTGCGCAGGCTCGGGAGCGCATGTCGATATACATGGGAATTTCGAGTTGCGCGGCAGGACGCGAAAACTTCTGACACACGCGACTATTGACCTGGATATCGCGATCGAAAAGCGCGACGCGGAGCAACAATTACGCGAATGCCTTATCCTTTTTCTGTTTGCAGTAACAAGTGCCTTAACGAGAAACGACGCAGGACCCAAGAGAACCTGTACATCGATGAGCTTGCCGAGCTGGTCTCCGTCTCGGACATGAGCTCTGGCAAGACTGACAAATGTCAGATCCTCCAGAGAACCGTAGACCAGGTAAAAGCCAGCGGGGAAAGGGTCATATTCAAACACCGGGGAGCGCCCCGGAAGAATAATCCAAGCGAGCGAGGAAGAAAAAAAATGCACTTTTTTTTTCTTTTTTTAATAAAAGAACCGGCAACGTCGCAAAGCGAGCCAAACGGAGTCGGCGACTTTTCGAGGCCACATGTTAACTCACCGCTCTCTCTCTCTCTCTTTCTCTCTCTCTCTCTCTCTTTCTCTCTCTCACTCTCTTGCGATTACGACGCGATCTGTCGGCCGCGGGAAATACGAGCTCAAGGTCGGCAGCTAGCCAGGCTGTAGCACGCAGCCCAAGAGAACGAGCGCGACTGACCGTGAACTCTCCCTCCGCAGCTGGTAACGCAGAAAATGCTCTTACCGTCTACTCCTCGCTCTTCTATTCTTATTATTGGTTTTCCACCCGCTTCACGTTGAATTATTGTCGAGTTGTTTTTACAGGCTGCTGCTTGCGCTTCGGGGGCATTCCGAAAGGGGGGCGATTTCATCGGCGCCTCCTTCGTACGCTAATCATATGTTATTTCGCATGCAGGCGCCTGTGCGCTCTTTCTCTCGATATGCGTTTTGACGGGCAAGAAAATTGCAATTTAACGGCGAGACGGGAACGCGCAATGCGAGTTCTGTCGACTGTGAACAATTTTGATTAGTCGTCGTTCGAGAGATCGTCGTTGGATTCGGAATCGGACTAAAGCTGCTCGCTCGTCTGTTTCCATTTCGCAAAACAATCTTCTACGTCCACTAATAGTTATGATACTAATTCTCCTCGCTATCTATCGATTATATAGGTCAACAGTTTCTTTTATTATCAATTACAGCAAAAAAATCAAGAAATTGTAAAACTTGACAATTTATCGTTCAAGTTATTTCACTATTGCTTGTTGGAAGAGATATGACTGAATGATCTTATCGATACTTGCACTGATAATATAAAAGTAACAGTGCTTACGCGACCTGTCTTTTTTATTTCGCATTCATTGCATTACAGGAAAGAAGTTTCATGATCTCTCCCAACTGTGGTCTTTATCTTCAGAAAGTAAATTGCGTACCGTAATAAGTAAACATTGTCATTGCTGTTGTCTCGACTAAATGATTATTTCGAAGGGGCTATTAGTTAAAAGTGGAATCGCATTATGCGCGTGCGAATGATTAACTAGAGATTATCTATCGTAGATTCGGCAAATCAACGATCAATCAGGCTCAAACAGTCACGATGTGCAGCAAGGAGAAGTATCCTCGTCGAATCCTAGCATACTGTCCAACGATCAAGTCGGACCTATTTTGCTTGAGGTATGTATCGTTATTTTTCTCGAAGAAAACACAATTTTTATTTAGTAATGGTGTACCGGGCATTATATACATATATAACAATTGCTCAAGGAAATTCTGTGCTGTAATCCAATTCCGCGAGTGTAATACATTTGCACATTGACGCGCGATAATTAGATTTCCACAACGAATTTTAATTTGGAATCTGGTTTATCAACGAAACGGAAAGAACGCAAGGCATCTTTTCTATTATCACGCGCAACGAGTATGCATGTGTAGCGGCTAAAAATATAATTGAGATTAACGACTGAAGTTCATTCATGATGTTGCAATTCGCCTGTGAGATGTCGATAATCGTGTTGGTTCGTCATTAATGAGGCGCTCTTTTAAGGACGAGCAGCGTGCTTGTTTCTGTCGATCTTAAATCGAACAATGGAAACAGAACAATCGCGAGGAAATAAGCGGCAATTAGAGATTGTTCGATAGATAATGTAGGCTATTGAATAGCTATTAACGTGTTGTTCGCGCAAGCTTTCTCCGTGAGCCTGTGACAATGTGATTGCTTTTTGTACGAAACAGTAAAGTGCTCGCGATCGATGTACGCCTTCGAACAATTATTTCACTACAATGTAACTACAAAATCGAATGACTATGGTATGTCAAATCATATCGCAAACTTAGTCAGATTTGTATTTGTTTGTCTGCGCTTGTAGCTTATCTTATAGGAACGCAAACATTTTTTTTCTTTTATTTATCTTCTTTGGGTTTTCTATGGCATTAGAGATAAGCGCAGTGACAAAAAGGACTGTGTTCGTGACGCGCTACTCGCGCCTTCATTAACAATAGTTTTGGCTGTTTCACTCGACTGCGGCGTTCACCGAAGAGTGCTAACACTTTTTAGAGCGACACGAATAATGACGACGAAGAAAATTCCCGTGACAAAGTCACTGCCTATAGCTATCGAGTGAAATTTAGGCTAAGCAAAAAATATATAAAAATAAACGATTTATTGTAAGATTGTGGAAAATGGAGTGAGTATAATTGCTATTTATGAATAGAGATACATTAAATTTGAAAGGTAAACCATAGATTTTATATTTTGCTGATTAAAATCTATAAGAGTAAATGAAAACTTTTTTAGTCGCAATAGATCTGTCGGTTGACAAATATTTGCAATAAATACTAAAGTGTGATTGGAGTATGCAGTTTTTTCTTTACATTTCACAGTTTACTATCTCAAAGTCGTCACTTTAATATTTGTATTTCGACTTTTTAAAAACGCGCGCAACTACTGAAATTTGGATAGTAGAATTAAGAATGACGATTGCATTGCTGTATTTTGGAAAGTGTCAGAAGAGTCTATCGATAGAGAGAAAAAGAGAGAGAGAGAGAGAGAGAGAGAGAGAGAGAGAGTCATTTTATGTTTTAGAATGGGTCGTCGTTTGGCCGTGTGTGCGCGCACGTGACAAATATTAGCCGTAGCACGGCGGCGACTCGCGTTTCGTTGATTGCTCGCGCCACCAAATCACGTATATATAGGCGACATCGAGGACGCACATTTTTTTCTCTCCTATTCACCGTCTGTGATCGGCAGTGCGCGATTGTGTTGCGCCTTGTTTTGTTTTCGTTGCTTAAACTTGTTCCACAACACCGCGATGGAGTTAGGAGTAGCATCGCGACGGCTACAAGTGATTGTCATGTCTGCGAGTGTAAAGTGACGATGTGCTTTGTGTTAACGATTGTATTTTCTTTCAGGCTTTAGACGGCTTTCTTTTTGTTGTTAATACTGAGGGCCGCGTGGAATACGTCACGGACAACGTCAAGGATTACATTAATTTTACGAAGGATGAAGTGCTGGGAAAGGACATTTACAATATCATTCATATTGGAGACGCCGGAGACTTCATGCCTAACGTTTTACCGCAGTCAGTAGGTAAGTGATCCACCGCCCAAAACGCACCTGTTTCATTCATTCTCAGACGACACTTTCCTTGACGCGTTCTCGTAATCGTATTCGGGTGAAAGTGTGCGATCCGGCAAAACGTGCTTCGTTGATATTAGTTTTCTAACTGTTTCTTTGTTGCGAACCAAGCAATTAAGCTCGTACGAAGTCCGCGTTCTTACAATAACTCACTTGCGAACAAATATTTCATATTAGAATACTTTGCTCAAAGAAATTTTTGAAAAACAAAGCGTCCAACTAAAATTTACCATGAGTTGAAAACAATACTGCAACGTTCAGTGTCACAGTAGAGAAGATGAGTAGTAGATTCAGAGAGATAGTCAATCGAAGATAAGTGATAAACCATTGTAACTGAACGTATAAAGAGAAAGAAGCGCGACGAAGATAATGTAGGTAGACCATAAGGCTGTCGAAGCACGAAGCAAAAACAATTTTTAAAAAACAGAGTGGAAAATTGAACTGGGGTTGTTTTGCTGTAAATGAAAAAAGCTGGCTGGACTGGCGAGGCCCAGGGCCAGCAAGCGGGACGCAACCGGACGTTCGAGTGTCGTTTCCTGGTGAAGGCGGCCGATGAAAAAGACGAGACTATGGAGGAGAAGCAGCAACGCGTGTCCCAGTACGAGACAATGCAGATCTGCTCGGCGTTGCTGCCAGCCTCGAACGGCAGCGGCGGCGGCGGCGGCGGTGGCGACAATAGCAGCAACAGCAACAGCGCGAATTCGACCGGTGGCCAAGCTGCTGCTACTGCCGCCGACGCCATGGAATCGGGCAACGAGCCCTGCGTCATGTGCGTCGCACGTAGGATCAGCCTCGATGAGAAACGCGTCGGACAGTTCACTTTCAAAATTGACACCCACGGCAAGATACTCGCCGTCGACACGAGCTGGCTCAATCTTGATTACAAAAAGTCGATCGAAGCCAAGGTGAGGAATCTACGACGCGACCTGCTGCCGCGATACCAACGATCATCTTTGCCACGTTTGCCATGGCTGTTCAGACGCTTTTTTTGCCTCCTCGTGTTCTTTTCCTTCTGTCTCTTTCCCTATTGCTCATGTGTACTTCCATGTGTAAACGAAGCTTTCCGCTGTTGCGATCCTCTCGTTGCAACCAACTGTACCGTTGTTGCTTGGATCTGCATTGCAATTATTGTACTAACAAAAACGCGGAACGAAAAAGTGCTTCTCCATCCATATCTCGATGTCATCTATGAAGCTTACATTCATAATAATCTTATTCCACTCACGTCAATCCAATTTTTTAGTTACCATTAATCGTAAAAAAATGTTAAAAAAATTAAATAAATTGTTTTGTTTTTCGCTTGCAAAGAAGCCTTATTTGATTCTCAACCTCAATCTTTCGCGATATATTGAAAAGTAAACTCGCTTAATTTTAATAATTATAAAGTCACTTTTGTATAGCCGTATGTTATGAGACATGAGATTTCGTTAAGTAAAAAATATCATCGTATGTATCACGACTATAATATTCAGTGATTTGTTGTATATGTGAATCTGAACGTTGTACTATTTGAAATTGAACGTCCGCATGATCTTGAAAATCAATAATGCTAGCTTTGCCTTCTCTAATAGATCTTTGTTGATATTTAGTGTTAGAATAATAAAAAGTTTTGTACTGAATCTACTTTTTCTCTGTTTATTCAGGATCTGGTTAATCGAAAACTTCACGACCTGTGCCATTTGGAAGATCTCAGTAAAATAACTACGCATTTGAAGGATGTGCTTCAAGTCGGAGAAAGTATGAGCCCGATTTATCGGCTAAGTTTCTGCCTTGCTTCACCTCCTCCTGAACGTAAGTACTTCAATGTTCAAACGAAGTCAAAGCTCTTCAAAGGAAGCGTGACAAGCGGAGGAGGCTACGAATCGGACTTTATTATGGCCACAAACTCGTTATTTAGGTATGATATCAATGAACAGTCATGCTGAACATGACCTTCTGTCATTATCACTGATTATTTCCAACAAATTTTTCGTGAAAGTTGCCACACATGCTTATGAAAGGACTCACGAGAGCCGGTTATATGACTAATGTTTCAAAAATGTCGTCATTAAATCTAACGTAAGCAACTGTAGCAACTTGGGCACATACATCAACTGCATTGTTTATTAACATGCTTTTAAATGTTATCCAATTAGTGCATGCTTATAAATCCATATTAAAAATCATGTAATAAAAACGGGCTGATGGCAACCAATTCCCCCTCTCTATTCATAATCATTTCAAGAAGCTGCTCTGCAACATTATGCTGGACCCGATTTTCGTTAAAATAAAGCTATTATTGTCACTCATTACCCCTCATTATCCAGTATCATCATACTCTTAGTTGCGCTATTTTTAATTTCCCGTTTTCATAGAACATTCTTTTACTTAATAACAACGAAAATAGTTTGTAGGAAAAATGACGTTCCACTTTGATTTTTTTACAAATCTGCATGTGTAAGATTATTGTAATCACAAGCTTACACTATTGAATATACGACATTTTCATTGTGGGAGGAAACGATAATTTTTATCGTTCGTCTCTTTGGTTATAAACACATACATACGCAATCAATTCTAGAATAAATACATTTTTAACCATCTAACCGAAATCACGCTATATAGCAGTACACGTGCTCTACTAATTTTAAATACGTCTAACAGCAATATCATTTTAATTTCTGCGAAAAATCACATTATCCCAGAAAATCCATGTTATTCATCGACTTGTGCGTACGCAGATACATACGATCGTGTAATTCATTTTGCTTAGCGAGTACTGTCGATGAACTATAGAAGAAATATACGGTTACGAACATCATATTCTAGTACAATCTGACTATCAAAATGATTAAAAAAATTAATATGCTCGATTCGCTAAGCTTTGAATTTGAATGAAAACGAAAGCTTGTGTGCATGCGTGCGCTCTTCCCGTACAGTTAGGCCATCTTAAATTTTCTTTCTGTCTTTTGTGACGATCATCAAGTCTGACCAGAGTGGTCTCTGTGTTTCTGTTCTATTCTTCGGCAAAAAAAGAACTGACAGGGAAGACGGAATAATCGACAAGTGCCCCAGCCATTCTCTGTCGTCGGGCATCCCGTTGAATAGCCGACCGAGCAACAATAACAATAACGTTGGCGGTCCTCTGATGTCGGTTGCTGGCCAATTGAACGGCATGTCGACATCAACGTCAAGCTCGTCGCCGGCGTCGACGGGCCGGTTCCCCGGCAGCTCGTCCACGTCCTCATACGCCACGTCGTTCAACCACTTCAGCACCGCGGACATCGACGCGTTCGACCTCTTCCCAAGCTCGACTCTCGACCTCGAGCTCGACTCGTGGACGCCGATCGACAACTCTCGTCCCGACTCACGTGCCAGTAATCAGCAGTCCTCTCAGTCACAGTCGCAGCAGCAGCAGCAGCATCAGTCGAATTCGCGACCTGCCTCACAGCCAAATGCCGCTGCAAGCAGTCCGCACAGAGCCTTCAGCCCGGCAACCCACGCCTTTGGTAATTCCTTCTCGTTCAGTCCGCTCCAGGATACGACGCCCGCACAGCCCAGCCCCGCCATGGAGCAACAGCGCAACGGGCCGTCGCACCAAGACACTGATAATTGCCAGCAGCAACAGTCGCAGCAGCCGCCACAGCCACAGCAGCCGAGTGTGTCCACCGAGTCGGGCAGGCTAAGGAATCTGCTGACAAAAGGCAGTAGCGCCAGCGACGACAGCTGTCAGGACAATTCGTCCACGGGGCCCGAGGGTGACAAACCCGGCCAGCAGAACAGGATACTCAAAATCCTGTTGAACCAGCAGGACGAGGATGAGTATCATCCTTCGGCGGATCAGCACGGGGCTGCGGCCTCGTCCAAATCCACGAGAGGCAGTCCTGCGCAGCCGATGGTGAAAACCGAGCCTAGCAAGCCTAGCGTCTCGTCCGGCAATCATATGCTTCTGCAGGTGAGTTCTTTTGTTCGTCGGCTTGCTCTCGAGCCGGCTTCTAAAGCTCGTTTTCACTTTCATTACCTTCGTTTTGCAGCTTCTCAACGAGAAAAATGAGGACGATGAGGACGACCGAGGCATGAAAAAGAAGAACGAACTTCTCACACAACTGCTCAAGGATACTGATGACGATAAGAAGCATCAGGATCAGAACCGAGACGACGACCCATTACTGAGGAGTCTCGGCTTCCGTAACGCTTCACCGTCGTCGTCGCAGTTGGATCACGTAGCTGGTGTGAGTGTCAGTGCTATGACTGCAGGTCAGAAAAGGCCAGTCGAGGATTGTGAGATGAACATTGCGGTGAAACGGCCGATGGATGGTTCGCAAGTGACTTCTACGGCGAGCAGCAGTAGTAGTGGTACGAGTGGCGGCCAATGTGGCCCCAATAGCACTGGTAACACGAGCAAACTCTGGGAGAAGAATCGAATGCTTGCCTCATTGTTGGCCAAGCAACCGACTCAGCCCGCTACCATACCTCCGATACCTGCCTCTGTGATATCAGCCACTCCTCAAGACAAGCTGCCGCGTGTTATTAATAAACAGCAGCCCCAACAGCAGCAGCCAAATCAGCAGCAGCAGCAGCAGCAGCAGCAGCCTTGGACAAGTATGCAGTCAGCTGGTAGCAATGCGACAACGACGACCGCTACGTCTGCAAGAACGCCCATGCAGAATCAGCGATCACTACCTCATCGTCAGCCAGCCATGAACTACCTCAATCAACTAGTAAGTTTTTCTTCTCAAAAATAAGATATTCCTTTAATCTAAAAATATGGTATCAATGCTTATTCACGGATTTACTTTGTGACTGTAGCAACAAAGAGTGCAAATGGAACAAATGGATATTCCGGGCAGCCGAGATTATAGGCAACTTGGCAACGATCCCCCTGCATTCGACGCTGATGATCCTGATCTCTCTCAAATCTTGGACCAAGTCATAGATATCGTTCCGGAAAGTCTTGCAGGTGCATATTTATTCAAATGTAAAATTAAATTTAATTTCGAAATTCCTGCCCATCTTGAGAATTTCTCACGATCATGCGCTTTACCGCAGATAATACTATAGCCAGTTTGATGGACGTGGTAGAAGCTCAGCGTAATGAGAAGCAAGCGATAAATGCCATACAGGAGTCGTTGATGCAAATCGAGACTGCCGTTAATCCAACGTCTTCCAATATGACGACGCCTGGTACTCCTCCAGCTTATTCCACAGCGGTAAAAACTTATTCTATAGTTCTATGTATACGAGATATTGTCGTTATACATTAATATTTGTTATTTTGCAGATGGGAAACACGCCTGTGACATCGAGTCATAACTATCAACGGCCGCCGATATATCAGCAACAGTCTCAACAGCAGCAGCCACGAGCAAGGCTAAATGCTGTTCAGCAGGCTGGTATAAGACAAGCTGCCGCGCAATTTACGCCACAACAGCAACAAATGCAGTTGCAACAGCGACAGAAGATGTTGCAGGTGCAGCAAAGGTTGCTTCAGCAACAGCAGCAGCAACAGTTGCTCATACCTTCAAACGCTACAGCTCCGGACCAAATAGCTTCTGGCGGTATTCATAATATCGATACGCTTCTTAACAATACTGTCGCTCCGAACGTTACGCTACAAGTATGTATTTTCATTTTTGTCGTTATCTGATTTGTGTGGAATATGTATTTTATTCACGTTTACATAATTTTTACAGCGATCGGGTGGGCCAGAATCCCAAGTTTCACCGAGTTATGGAGGATCCGTCCAGATGCCTCAAGGGCCGCATCGCCTTACTCACTCGTACTCTCATCCCTCCACATTACCTCAACAGTAAGTTACTTTTATAACAACACTTTAAACATTATTGTGAGAGTTCTTCCTTATTGTTATGAATCTTTATAGCCCTGCTGTTAACAACAGTTTTAACAGTGGCCAGCAAGCTACGGCACGGCTATCACCACACTCTCCAGCGGGTATATTGCCCTTTTCGCATCCTCAACCTCTATCTCCTCGGGTAACGCAACAGGTATGTATATTTACCGAATGATGAATAAGGCTTTTTTACAATTAATAGTAATTGAATAAAGTAGATCAGTGTCCTTAACATCAATTCATTGAACCAATACTCTGCGGTCGTAAGTTCAAAATTGATTGTGTGGTTTGCAGGGAAGTTATGCTGGCAGTCCGCGGATGTTCAACGTGAACCAAGTGCGACAGCAGCAACAGCAGCAGCAATCTAGCCAGCAACCGGGATTGCAACAGCAACCACAAAGGTCGATGTCATCGCCGGGGACGCCAGTGTCGGCGCGGCAGTCCCCATTTCCCGCAGAAGCCTTCCCTCCGCCGGCGTCTCCTACGGCCAGTCAATTCCCACCAGTCCCTAACGCCAGCGTCACCAATCCTTCGGCCCAGTACCGAATGCAGCGACAAGCCTCCACACCTTCTGCCACTACGCAATTACCAGGTAATAAGCTATGACTGAGAATTGTCCAGCTTTTAACAATTTTCTCATTAGATATCTTTCTACGGTGATACTTTTCAGGCTCGAATTTTTATTGAACAATTTTTGTGGACGATAGTATGTTGCGTGCAATTCTTGTTGAGATTACGATGATGCTCCGGTAGTCACTAAATTGTATTTAGATAGATAAACATAGCTAATTCTACTTTGATTTATCGTATCTTCTTATATTATAACAATTGTATAAGATTTTTTTTAATTTTCGAGCAGCCTTGGTTGGGTATTGATAAAAATTTTGAAAGACTGCCGCTGCTTGTTAGCTGATACCTTCGCAACAATAGTACATTACATTTTTTAACTTTATTCTATTTATATGCAACTCATATATAATAGTACCCAAGTGCCAAGTCAACACTCTACTTTTAGCAGTGCGAGCAAATCCAATACCAGTCATGTTCAATGAAGAGCAAAGCAGCTTTTACCGAAAAAAGAGAGAAAACGAGAAAATGAAAGATTGAAAAGATAATGACGACGCGACGTAACCGTCGAAGACACAAGTTCCTAGACACAATTAATGTTACAGGTGGGGTTGGTTCGCCCTGTCACTATGGGGGAGTGAGCAAGGATCAACCTCTATTGTCGCCTAGTCATCCCCATGCGGGTTGTCCTGCTACACCAACCCATAATCAACATAACGCCAACAATACCCAACACTTTTCAAACCATCAACACTCATCCATGTTATACCACAACGCTGCCAGCGTACAGAATAGTCAGTACTGTTATGATCGGACGTCTGTTAATATGTATCAGTCGGGGCCTGGAGACGCGCAAGACTGTAGGCCTCCACCGCCCAGTAATCCTGCTAGTCACCAAATGGGTGGTAAGTCATGTGACCTCTTCATGTCATGTGACCATCACTGCGCAATTAAAAAAAGCCACACACACACATCATTCGCCTCACTCGCTCTCAATCTCTTTCTTTCGCCCTTTTACAATCGTCACATCTTGACCAGATTTACTACTTATTAATATATTACAACTGACCAAAGGACCGTTCGCCACTATCTCTCTCATTTGTCTATTATGCATAATCTCTATTTCTCAACCTGTATCGAACGCTAATTTTACCAAAGAGAACACCTTCGGCATGAACAACTGGTAATCATATTTAAGCACATACATTTCACTTTTGCTGAATTCGTTAACGTGGAATTACCTTTTTTTGAGAAATGAGATAACTTTTCTTTTAATTGTTCTTCTTTAATTCCACGAAGAAGGTTGTCTATTTTGGGTAAAGTAGTTCGATGATACTGTAAATAACTCAATGGTTTGATCGCCCACATTCATCATGTGTAAACTCTCCCCCTTGTTGGTTCACACTTTTTCGAATAATATAACGACGGTGCAGACGAATGCTTGCATACACTTGGACGACAGAATGTGAACACATTGTGCTAGACAGCAAACGCAGCGACGATACTGTTTTTCCTCATCGCCGTCGACGTTCATGTGTTGCATGGCTCATCTGTTATTGAAATCTCATCAGCGGCACTTGTATATAACCATGATCATTATAAGCTATGTTACTTTCTACTCATCCAATTATCATTCAATCAACATTAGCCTACTCATCAATGTAAATAACATCGCTAAAATGAGTGTCTGAGTCATTGTACAGAAAGTTGTCTCAGAAGTAATTAATTTAAAGAATATATTATGAAGACAGTTTATACTTTGATGTTAGTAATTGACTTTTATTAAACAAGTTATCTTAAGATTTTTTGATGAAGTTTTATCCGTAGAACAACTTAAGAAGCAACTGTAAATAATATTATGTATCTATAGTATAACTAACGCACAATTCATGTTATTATTTCAAGCTGCTACATGTGTAATAATATGTTCAGAAAAACGAACGGGACGTAAAAATTTTTACTCTTAAATAAATATAACTAATATTTTGATTGCTGTGCGTATCTTTTGTAAGAAATTGAAAAATAAGTCTTGATTGTTTTTCTGAAACGAAGATCTAATTACTTTAGGATAAAAAAGAGACAAGGAGATAATAGAAGATAATTGAAAAAAGAATGAACGTTGTTACAGCTTTTATCATTCATCATGGGTACATCCATTGAATTGTTATAAATGTTTGTTCGTGTGAATTAATGTACGGCCTATGAGATTAAAAGGTGTTGTCTTGTACGTCTACGGGGAATGAAAAAAAGTATTAATACCAGTCCAAGCATCTTTATATATGTGGGTTATAATAAAACAAGGATGTCTCAACGTCTCAATGTGTACGCTGTGTGTATGTGAACCACATCCTGTAAATCTAATTTAGAATCAACGACTTAACAGCATCGTCTATTGTAAATTAATCTTCCTGCACTTGTCGAGAGGCAATTTAATCAATAAGTAATTTGATCGTGGATCGCACTGTGGCTGAGAAAACTGTTGGAACAAAGTATCGCTGCATCTCGATTAACGCGACTCTCGCTTTGTTTTCAGGTAATACGACGGGTAATGCAGGTGGCATAAACTCGGAGTACGTACGGAAAGAGTTACGAACAGTTGTGGATGCGCGGATGCAGCAGCAGCAGCAACAGCAGCAGAGGGTACCAAATAACTTTCAGAACAACTTGTCCGGCCAGGTGTCACAAGAAGATTTGGATACTCTCGGCTTAAATTACGATTTGACGGCTGCAGGTACGTAGCCAACGCCAAATTGCTGCATTGTTAACTTCAATTCGAATTAACTTTCATCATTATTTTGACTAACCATTCCTGTTTGGTGTCATATCTCGAATCACAGTTACAGTTGCGCGATCCGTCACTACACATATCTTAAGTGAACTTTTGAGGGCTTACAGTCGAAAGTTTAATACATGCATTCTCGTTAGGATAAATATATGATACTATGTATCACCTTCAATGTTAACGAGCATTATTTCTAAATGTTTTATGTCACGTTTGCTGTTCAATTAATTACCAAACTCAATGTAGGTGTATATACATGTATACGAGGCTGTGAAAAAGTATTACAGACTAGTTGTAATAACAATTGCAATAATCGTTCGGTTATTTCACTCTAAGATGCAGCGCTAATTTATTACAATAAAATCTTTCGAGAACAAAAAGTGTACGAACGAACAATTAAGAGAAAGCTTCTCTTAAAAAAGAAAACAAAACAACAATTGATAATGGTAACACGTGTATATGGTTATCGATGTCTCAAATAGGTGATGCGTTGGTTAGCGATGGCTCTGCCAAGAGTTGGGCCATTGGTAATGCCGGAACGACCCTCTCGTCCTCCAGGGTAAGAACCCACTATTCCGACAATTACTTTTACGTATATTTTTTCTAAATAAGTCTTTGTTTTTTTTTTGTACGCTCTCTATCTCTCTGTCTACCCTTTTTCTGCTTGGCTTCAACGACTTTTTTTTTATATATATATTGTGCACGACAATTTTCCGTTGTTTTTTTTTTCTTTTTAGTTTTTTTTTGTTTATTTTTAACTTTGTACTCTTCCTCGATCAACGTTTTATCGTGCGTTCGAATCTTTTTCTTGAATATGTTATGCTCATTGCTGTGCATGATTATAAAGTTTTATTTTTACAAGTGTACGGTGTCACTTGTAAATTTTTTTTTTATTTTAATTGTACTCCTTTCTTTTGTAAATTCAATATTTTTTTCTATTGTTGAGTTGTGATAAACAAAACGAGCGTTTATACATATAAGTGTTAAAGAACAAACTTGCTGCAAGCTTTTTGAGTGGTACTCTATATTCTTGTTGTATATCTATATAATTATAATTCGGTGTTTGGATGTCGTTCTAAAGACACTGAAGGAGTTGCACTTATATAGCGCTGATAAAATACATACTAGCGTTTACCAATTTGTTTGTTTCCATTCTTTCTATAAAACAATAACGTTACTCTCGGACAAACTTTTAATTTTTTTTTTCTATTTTTTCCGATTCTATTAAGGTGGTGATGGTGTATTACAATATCTATTATCTATATATTTTTAAATGTATGTAGACTACGCTTTAGTCATTATTTTCGATGTGAAAATATATACTGCCATACTCGAGTAATTTGTATACTTCTTTACAGTCGTAATGCTTTTTCACAGTTGAGCAAAACAACAATCTTTGTGCTTACTGTATTACTCTACTTTTTTTCAAAAGTAACTCTCGTTTAATGCATGAGCTCAGTATTTAGTTTTATCGTAATTTCAAAAGGTTTGAATCCGTTGTCAGATCTATATATTATTACTATATTACACAGTGCGAAAGTTGACAAGATGAAAATTCATACTTATAGTTAGAAGAAGAGAAAAGAAACAAAGTGAAGAAAATGAGCGTTTGAAACATGTTTGACAAACGTGATTTTATGCTGTTTTTTTATTGCTTTGCAAAGTCGCGTTATCAGTCGTTCAATTAACATCGCGGTACATCATTCTTGCGCTACTTCTTTTAATTTCACTACAACAGCAACAAAAAATCCTTTCATTGGCGAAAACTCTTGAAGTCGTGCTAACTTTTGATTTGCGTTTTAACAATTTGCGACACAACAAATAACAAATTACAGCAACATCAATATTGAATTATCTAACGAAAGTTTGTTTAAGCAAGCATTATTGAATTTTCCAGACTACTATGGAAGAAGTGTCCAGAGGTGATCCAAAGTCGTCGCTGCTCCAGAAGTTGCTGTCAGAGTGACTGGTGGCTGTTGTCCCTCTTCGAAGTAAACATGTGTATGTAATATATATTTGAGTTTTCGAGAAGATAAGCGCGGAGTTAAAAGATTGAAGGAATATAAACGCGATACAACTATATTTATAAAAACAAATGCTCTATACGTAATGGATACTATTGTACTATATGTAATACCACGTTAAGGCAGTATGCAGTTACGATTAGCGTTTAAATGCAATGGACATTGTCAACGGACGCTTCTGGCTTGGCGCTCTCATAGATTTGGACTTTCGCTCTCTCTACATCTCACTCGCTATCCTCCGCCGAGTTTAACGCGTTGATTGTGATTCAAGGGAAATGAGAATCTGTTGGCGTGCCGTTGCTCGTTGGTCCTTCAGTGTGCGGATTTATGGACATCGGATTTAATCTGTCGTATTAACAAAGTCAAACAAAATTACAAAGTGACATTTGTATACACGCGCGCCACCGGCGACTCTTATTCAACGTCAGGGAACAAACGTTAATATATATATTTTAGAAAGCTATGACACAGGGTTTTAAAGATGACGATTAAAGTAAAATATATAGAGAATAAATAAAAAGGGAGATCGAGAGATAGAGTGTGTGATTTTTCAGAGACGACATATAACTTTTTCAGACTTATCGCTGTTATTATTTTTAAAACATGTCGAAAGATTGCGCGCGGTTGACTCTTCGAGTTGTACAGAGAGTAAGATAGAAAAAAATGATGTTTATGTACATGTTGAGAAAGTAAGAAAAAGAGAGAGAGGCAGAGTAACAAAGAAATAAAGGGCGGAAAGGTGGTAGGGAGGGAGAGAGGGAGAGACAGAGAAGAGAAGAAGCTGGATCCGTGAAAGTGTCAGAAGCGGACCTAAGTTTCATTACGTTTAAAAACATTGATGAATAAAAGAAAAAAATACAAACAAATAAACAAACTACGTAGGTACCTCAAAGGTATACTTTATTATACTACTGGCTGTTGAACATAGATTAAAAGAAAGATAGGTTTAATTATTGTACACATGAAAAGAATAGAGCACTATCACGTTTTTCCTTAATTTAACATCTCGAACTATATTGTATTATGAATAATATATTTGTGATTGTAAGAATCTGCAAAACCAAATTATGACAAAGACGTTGTTGTTGTTATGATTATAACTATTATATATGATAACAATTATTTTATTATTTTATTATAATTGACATCATCATTATCATTATTTCCGATATAATTGTTACATTACACACACTGTAATAATAATATTAAGATTTATTATTTTATTATTATATAATTATAATAATTTTATTACTATTACTGTAATTATTATCATTACTGCTATTTCTATTACATAATTATAAGTATAATTATTAATATTGATACTGTCAAACGTGGCGTATGCATATTTCTACTCCAAAAAAGGGTACCTTAACCAGATATATGCCGAGCGATTCGTCTCTCGTATTTACAATCACATACACAAAAATAATGTGAATTCCACGCCCTAATTTTGGAAGCAGTTACGCAATGATTTTTCTGTATAACAATCTAATAGCTATATATATATATGTATGTATGTATGTATGTATGTATGTATGTATGTATGTATGTATATATAGCGCGGAGTTTTGACACATAAAAAACTGATTGTAGAAACGCATGAAACGAATTGCCCTGTAAATATTTTACATACATGAGTATGTAAGTTTAAAGCGAGCGCGTATGATATATACATATATAACTGTATACATAAAACAAGTATGTATATGTGTATGTGTATATATACATCTTATATATAGAAATGGAACAAAAAATAAAAATGAACCTTCTATTTTGCATAGCTCCGTAAAGTTATTCTTCTTTCGGGTCTTAGATGCACATTAAATTACTTATAAAGAAAAAAATTGATTTAATCGCTATTCTAGGAGTTTTCTTTCTCCATCGATCGATCAAAAGCTTCCATTATGACAGGAGTGGTCGATTGAGTTGGTATAAACATACCTCGTTAGTTTGACAACAAAAACTCTTGAAGTACCGATTAAACTAATAATTGATGAGTGATAAAGCAAATTACGAATGACACTTATTGTTATAAAGAATGAAAAAATTTTTAATAATTACATACAAGTATGCAGGTCGACATAAGAGCCAGAACACGTGAGAAAATTGTACAATCATTGTATTTTTTTGTTTTTATTTTTGTAAAGCCTCCGGACCGAGATATTAAGAGGTATCCGTTACGTATTACGAATCTTACGTCAGTCTGTGTATAAAGACGTTTAAGTGTATGTATATGTACATATGCGCGAGATCAGTTGGTTTTTTCTTCTTTCATTTGAAAATCGTATCGATCGATGATTACCATTGGACGAAGATGCATGTTAGGCCAAATGAGTATAGCCAGACACACACACGCGCACACACACACACACACACACACACACACACACACACACACACACACACACACGATTGTTGAAGCTTGAATTTCGATAGTCTTTGACTCGTTTTCTTCTTTTTACGTCTATACCATGTCAACGATTTCCAGATGGGAAATGCCATTTTGCACTCGTTTTCTCGCATCAGCGCGCGTGAAACTTTTCATTGGTAAAAGATCGCCGCGTACCACCTCCTCCTCTTTGTTACTTAATGAAGTAAGCATTTTTTCGTTGAAGTTTGATAATAACGTACTCATAGTGCGACGCAGAGAATAAATAAGAGACCGTAGCGTTTACCTTGTGATGAAACAAGCTGGAAATATTATGTTAATCTTTTTATAGCTAGTTTTTTATATTCTATTCTTGTACATGATGTGGCGATGTTATTTGTACTTCTTTTTAATAATTGAGAGCCAACTGATTAGATTTTGTCAATGAAAATTTCTATACTTTTCTCTTTTTTTACGATGAAACTTTGTTTATTAAATAGTGTAACTTGATATATAACTCAAAATCATACCGTTGTGACGACATTCGTTGTTGACTTCATTAAAAATGATGTTATTTTTATATATACGAACGTTCTTTCTAACAGACAATTTAGAAATTTGTCATATCATCGTAAAAAATTAATAAATAAAACAAATTACTTTTTCACGCAAAATTCCATTATCTTCCTTGATTTTAGATATTTTATTTTTCTCTATTTAATGCATTAATTGTAGTGGCAACACACACCAAGTTACGTTATCAAAAACATAAAAAGTATATCTATTTTTCGTTGTTGAGCCCATATCCGAGAGAGGATAAAAACGAATTTCCAATTTAACCTAGATAAATAATTTGTGCAATAGGTGACAGTTTTTCTTTAATAAAGAAAAGCCACGGGTCGAATGTGTGTATCGACTCTTGAATTACGTTGTAAAGTAAAGATAGTTTGCATTTCCTGTCTGGAAATTCATCCCTGAAACAGTTCCCATTCCTTTCACATGTAAATATACGCCTATAGTTGACGCAAAGATGAAGAGGCAGTTATAAGTCCCGTCCTCCCCTTACTTTACCGCTCGATTGCATTTTCTTCCAGTAAAAGAAATAGTTTGAAAAAGATAAAACTGTGCGAAAGTCTATTTTGAAAAGTGGTTGCATTAACCGTATGTATACATGTGTATGCGCGCGAGCAAGCACTCCATCAAGACAAGTATTTTTAATTATATCCTACGTCTATTTTATTTCAAAGGAAGAAAAAAAAGATAACTATTTAAGTGATTTTTACGAAGTAAAGGAATGTTAGTGAAGAGTGCGTGTTCGCGCGTCTGTTTATATTTACAACTATGCGCGCTGTACACATAGATAATTTATGTCATATAGATAGATCATATGTGCTTTCTAATGACGGATAATTTTATAAATATAATTATACCGATGTCAAGTGTACGATTATTTTTCTTCATATGATTGTGCGCGCGCGTGTGTGCGATGGAAAAGACATTAATTTGATGAAAGAAAGGAAAAAAATTAGTATACATTCGTAGGAGAGAGCGAGAAAAAAAGAGCTTTGATGTCGAAAGAAAAGGCGAGAGAGACAAAAATATAAGATGATAAAAAATGTGAAAAAAAAAATTAAAGAAAGTTTATGTATCGACGAAATAATATACGTCCTTATTCGCTGTTAACACTTATTAGGGGATGGTTGTATGAATGGAGCGTGCAAAACATGCATTCGTTAAATGTTTATACAAGAACGCCGGTTCGATGCAGATTCATTGTAGATGCCAAGACTCGTAAAGTTTCACTTTAAGTTTAGTAGGTTTTGTATATTGCACAGAGGCGTGCGACGTTCTTTTGTGATCGATCCAAGTCATCGTGTGTAAAAAGATGCATTATCTATTGCTTCGCACTTGATCAATCTATTTTAATTAAAAAATATGCTGATAAGAAATTAAATTTGTTTTATTTATCTACCCAACACTTCATTCAATTTATAAAATAACAACTGCAGCACAGGAGAAGTACAAAAATATTTTAAAAGCATTTCGTTAGTTAATCAAATTTAGATGTTCTTCGTCTGTATTTTTTTATATTTTGTATTGCATGAACATTTTTTTCTTAATTTGAGATTATCTTTAAGTTTTATGATTTTATGAAAAGTGTTTCAGTAATTTGTAAACTTTGTTATAAACGTCATTTTCATCATTTATACTTTATTCAATAGTACTTATAATACAACTTTTATATTTATAAAAAAATTTTTATTGGATCAAACAAATTTATATATATATAAGATGCTTAATTTTTACGATAGATTTCTTATTGAACACTTACTATAAACAATCGTTGCATGGCACTATGCACTTTGGTTATTCAATAAGTGCATCGGCAGTGTAGATTATCTTAAAATGTCACTTATTCACATATAAAATATTTTTTTCTTGCAACAATTGATTGCAAACTGTATCTCACACTATATCTCAAATTCTTTACTTTACAAGAACTTATGTAATTATACCGATTTCAAGTGTACAAACATTTTTCTTTATACGACTGTATGCGCACGCGTGTGCGATGGAAAAAACATTTATTTGATGAAAGAAAGGAAAAATAGGAAGTACAATTTTATTATTTTTTGCAATTTCAATTCTGAGCAAAAATATCAATATTCTAAGGGATCTGCTAACTTTCTGTGACTGTGAGAATTCAGATTTGTGTTACACAATTAAACTAGTATCAAATATTATGAGTTTCAATTAAGTATCAAAGAGATTTTAATAAAATATTCTAAAATTTTCTCATGTAATTTACAAGTACGATCTTTAAAATTTCATTTACAACTTTAACTTCAATAAAGTATCAGATATCTGCCGTAAATTAGTGAAGATTTGTTTAACTAATTATGAAATAAACTTTCTTTTAGGCAGTATATAATATTTCAATTTAAGATGATTTTCGACTCAAATAATGTTACTAATACATTATATATTGTAAAATAAAGCTTCGGTTATAAGCATCAAATAAGGTGGAAATGGTAATTTAGTTACAGGTTCACAATGAACCACGAGTGAATGACTGTTTTTAAACTCATTGACTCAAATAATAATATCCATTCAAACTATAATTCAGTTAGATTCACTTTAAAATAAACAATGTTACTATACAAAAGCAAGTAAATCTAACTAATTGAAGATAAAACTTCGTGTCGTTCAACTAGAATAAACTCAATCATTGGTCGATTTCATCCTGTTCAATAGGAGCTCTTTCTCTCCTCCTTTGATTTCCTTTGTCGTAATAGGTCCTGCTATTCTGGTATCTGCGATGTTGGTCTCTACCGTACTGGTCTCGAGCTTGTTGGTTCGCGTTACCAATCGGTCTGCCGTACTGGTCGGTGGTGTTCACCTGCCTTCCGTATAGGTCAGTACTATTTTGCTGTTTACCGTATGGTTCTCTACCGTACTGATCTCTGCTAGTCTGAACTCTACCATATTGAACTTTGGTGATTTGACCTCTATCATACGGTTCTCTACCATATTGGTCTCTACTCTGACTTCTGTCATATTGGTTACTATATGAATCTCTATTGTACTGGTCTCTGTTGTAAGAGTTTCTGTCATATGGACTGGCATTTGGAGATTGAGCCGTATGTTGCTGTCCGGGATATCGGCCAGGATTCCGCTGATGTTGATAATAGTCGCTACTCTCAATTTCATTAATACTATCTCCAGGCTGATAGCTGGCAGTCGGATGTCTTAGTCCATCGTAATTGTTGCTGTGATTAGGTGGCAGTCGCGAACCCTGATCTTGGATGTGACGTCTGATGCAGACGGAACAACGTGACACACGAGATGTGTGATCATTTTTGAGTGTCTGCGACTGAGGTTTACGGAACATTTCGTTGTCCTTAATAGTGGCCATCCAGTAAGAAATCGCAGTAGAAAAGAAGTTGCAGGTGCCCTGGCTGCGACACTCGATGAATGGTCTTACGCGGAATTCTTCTAAGCAGGAGCCTGGAGATGAAAGTGGTTGACCACCACCAGCTGCTCCCGAGTCTCGATGCTAAAAATAGTTTTTTTATTGCAATGTTCTATTTATTGAGCAGTTCATTGCAATGACAACTACATACCATAAGAAAACTATATCCAGCCCAGAGCTCTTCCCAACCTCCAGGACATTCAGGTATGGCCATCGATTGACTGTGCAAAACTACCAAACGTGTTGGCGCCTCACAAACGGAGCAACGTGAGATAAAAGCACCAACTTCACGTGCCGGAATCGGTGTCATTGACACAGGCATCTGCTCGTTCGAGCTCAGCCAGTAACTGTAATCGTTGCGATTCGCGTAGTCACAAACGTTGTTTAAGTTACAGAACATGAACGGCATAACCGAGAACTTTCTTATGCAACTTCCGGCAGTACCTATATAATTTTAAATTCATATTTAACTTATTTTTATGGTTAATCAAAATATATAAAACAAAAAAAATTAACAGAGATAATAATACCTAAGTCTTGAGAATGTGCATAACTGTTTCCCATGATATGTAAGAATGAAAAGCCATCATATATTTTTACAGTATTTTTTGGACACTGTGGTATCATTGCAGATTGCGAGTGTCTAGCAAATTGGAATCCTCGATTTTTTGGTCCCGGACCGGGAGGTGCGGGAGAACCAGGAAATCCAGGAAATCCTGTAAAAAATTAGCATTAATGATTTTTTGAAAACTTCACGCCAGTTTTTAATAACTGCATATGTGAAATTTAACCTACCAGGTGAGCCAACGCGTCCAGTGGCTCCAGGTCGACCTGGTGGTCCATCTGGCCCATTGTCTCCAGGGAATCCATCTGGACCAGGAGGTCCGTGCATACCTATTTCTCCTTCTCTTCCTGGACGTCCATCTATACCTTGTTCTCCTTGTAAACCAGGTAATCCTTGAATACCTAATCGTGGTTTAATTTCATTATATTAATAATTTTACTTAATAATCATGTTTTTATTGGAATTCTAGAGAAATTATATTTACCCGGCAAACCTATATAGCCATCATCTCCTGGAAATCCTTTCTGAGCTCTAGGTCCAGGAATAAAGTGACCACGTTCACCTTTTACACCCTAAACCAAAAAATATAATAATTAAAATTATTTCAGCAATTGCAAATATATAGACAATTATTTACCTTATATCCTGGTCTACCAGGTAAACCTGGTGCTCCAGGTTCTCCGTAATCACCACGTTCACCTTTTAGTCCTGGAGGGCCCATAAAACCATCTAGACCACTATCACCTTCTTCTCCTTTTTCACCAATTAGACCATCCAAACCAGGCAATCCATAGTCACCCATTTCTCCTTTCATGGCATATGAAGGAAAACCTGGTTCTCCTTGGAAACCTTTGGGTCCCGTTAGACCTGGTCGTCCCGGTCTACCTTCGAGACCAGGTGCTCCAGGGAAACCAACATATCCTGGGAGACCTGTAAATAACACATTTAGTGATTGAGTTCAATGGACTAAACAAAATAAATTATTACGGCTGAATAATTTTTTAATTTTCAATTACCATCATCTCCACGTTCACCCTTTGGTCCTGGATAGGAATATCCAGGTTCTCCTGGAAGTCCGTTGGATCCATCATAACCATAATCTCCAGGGCTTCCTTTGAATCCAGAACGTCCAGATATTCCGGGTCTACCATCTAATCCAGGAACACCGTCTTCTCCGCGAGGAGCAAATTCTCCAGGAGGCCCTGGAGGTCCCATGTAACCGATATCTCCATTAATGCCTTTCAAACCTGGGTATCCAGCTGGGCCATCAGGACCATGCATTCCACGTTCTCCTCTTTCTCCCTATAGTATCGGTGATTATTTCATAAAACATCCAATATAATTCAATAATTTTTATTAATAATTTTGTTACTTGTGGACCAGGCATGCCCATGTATCCAATTAGACCTCTTTCTCCCTTTTTACCGTCGGTACCAATTAATCCAGGAGTACCAGCATCACCGAAAGTTGCATTTGCAAATCCAGGATAGCCACGATCTCCTTGTATACCTTTTGGTCCTTGTTGGCCAGGTATACCTGGTTGTCCTCGGGGACCCATCTCTCCAGGCATGCCTGTAAGGTTATTATTGTTTAACGTTTCCTTATTACTATTGCGTTTCTATTAATTTTGAAACGTAGTGAAGTTAATCGAAGTGAAATGCATTTATTCTACTGTGATTGCTTTTGTTAAATATAAAATATAAGTCAGAATTAACGAAATTGTCAAAAAAGTTAACAACAATAAAGCCTAAACTATTGCAAGCCTAGTCCTTTATATGGAATTTTTTTCGTGTATTTGATAAAATATTTATTATAAATAAATTGATAAAAATTTGTATTAATATTATATTCGAAAAACTAATATTGGATCATTAAAAATAGATCTTTTCAATATAAGTAGTTTCAAAATTTGAAAGCCATTAATTGAATTTATATTATGTATTTATATCATAAGAAAAGTACCTGGACGTCCCATTAAACCAGGATCACCATCGAAACCACGATTTCCTTTAGGCCCGTCTAGACCTGCGGGGCCAGCTGGTCCTCGCTTTCCTTTCAAGCCTGAGCGTCCGTAATTACCGGGAATACCTATCCAACCTTTCGGACCATCGTCACCTCGTTCTCCTTTCAATCCATCAAATCCTAAATCACCTACTTCTCCCTATTAAAATATATGAAAGCCATCGTTAGCATTTTGATAATAACTAACAATTAACAAGAAATTATTATATACCTTTTGACCCATAGTGCCATTTCGTCCTGAATAACCAAAGTCCCCACGCATTCCCTTCCTGCCTACGTAACCATGAATAGCTAATCCTGGATTTCCTATGGGACCAGGTTTACCGTCGACTCCAGGCATTCCAATTGTTCCCACTTCTCCCGGCAGTCCAGGTTCACCAATATCACCTTGCGGTCCACTAAATGAACTTTCTCCTCTTTCACCTTTTAGTCCCATAAAACCTTTGTCGCCTTTTTGACCTTGCCATCCAGGTGGTCCAGGAGGTCCTGTTGGTCCAGGAATTCCAACATATCCTCTTTCTCCTTTCGGTCCTCTTAATCCAGGTTCTCCCGGAAATCCTATTAAACCATCTGGACCTACATCTCCTTCATCGCCAATTTCGCCATCTTCACCTGGTGCACCAGGTAGACCAACTGGACCATCCATTCCAATAAAACCAGGTTCTCCATCTTCTCCATCTGGACCACGTCTTCCAGAAGGGCCAATATCACCACGAATGCCTTTCATACCTTCATAACCTGGTGCTCCATCAACACCTAAAATTGGAAATCATATTAGTAAATTGTATTTTATTCTTTTATATTTTAAATAAAATTTTCATTTGTAATTACCTTCGAACCCGGGTTCGCCAACTAATCCTGGTTGACCTGGTGGTCCTGGGTAACCAGGTTCACCACGTGGTCCTTGGTAACTATCGCCTCTTGGACCTTTTGCTCCTGATACTCCTGGATATCCAGACCAACCGATTGGTCCTATCTCTCCTTTATTACCTTTTGGTCCAGGAGCACCTGGTGCACCACGAAAACCGGGTGGTCCTTCATCACCATCGTCACCAAATTCACCTATTGGACCAATTTCACCGATGTCTCCATAATAATATACATTGCCCATATCACCACGATCTCCTTTTGGACCAGCTAATCCCTTTAAAAATAATTACATGCTATTGTTATTATATATGTTTGAGTTTTAAGCAATTTCAGTTCAAAAGTAATATTTAGCAATGAAAATAAATTATTAAACATTTTATATTCAATTGACGCTTACTGGTATTCCATCAAGTCCTGGACCACCTGGAACTCCGGGTGTTCCTCGAGGACCTTCTTCGCCGGGCATTCCAAAATAACCTTTCAAACCCTCCGGACCCTGAATTGAAAAACCTTTCAGTCCTTGTTCACCCGATACGCCCATCAAACCATCTATTCCTTGATCACCCCTCTCTCCTTTAATGCCATCATAACCTAAATGCGAATAGATAAATTTGTTTTAATAATATAGATAGAGGTATCACAAGCGTTGTTTGCAAACAGTTAATTACCATTATCTCCTGGATACCCTTTTTCTCCTTTGCTTCCTTTGAATGGCAATAAATTATGCTGTGAGGAATCCCCTGGTGATCCCGGCATTCCTGGATTTCCTCTTTCTCCCTTTGCTCCTCTAGCTCCATCAAAACCTCGAATTCCTTTTAAGAATTCTTTCGGAGTATTTGCGTCTTCACCTTTCAATCCATCGACTCCTGGCCAACCAGGTACTCCGTCACGTCCCGGAATACCAGGGAGACCGTGATCACCCTAATGAAATAGATCATCGTTAATATTGATACTAATAAGTTTCCTTAATTTTGTTTCAATAATATTAAAAAAAATATTGATCCATTCTTCTATTGTGAAATTAATAAACGTACTTTTTCTCCTTTTGGACCATTGTATCCATAATCTCCAAATGGTCCAAAATGGCCTTTTGGACCTCTAGGCCCAACAGTTCCCGGGTAACCTTTATCACCTTTATCACCAGCAGGAGATTCTAAATGTGACGATGAGGGAGGCATTTGAAGACGACCTTCTTGACCTTTAGCACCTGGTAGACCTACAAGTCCATGGTGTCCGTCTTCTCCACGGAGACCTGGAGCTCCTTTAGGACCATCTTTCCCTCTTATTCCTTTAGGTCCACGGGGACCTGGTAGACCCGCAAATCCAGGTACTCCAGGAAAACCATCAAATCCTGGTAACCCCATTTCACCCTTCTCTCCCGGCGCTCCTACGCAAATCAGATTAATAGTAAATAGTAAACACTTCATTAAGAACATTTGTTTTTGTACGTACCTTCAGCACAAACTCCGCAATCATCACCTCTTGTTCCTTTAAGTCCATGCAGCCCATCGAGACCCCGTTTTCCCGAAACACCTGGCTTTCCGGGTATACCAGGTATACCTGGTTCTCCAGGAGGACCTTTCACAGGTTTACCTACACCCGGATATCCTTTGGGACCTGTTAAACACAATAAAATATGGATTGCAGTAGAAAAAGAAAATCTTCCGTTGACACATAATTTTATTTTTAGAAATTAGTTTCATTTTATTACTGGATTATCAAACTTTGCGTAGTGCTGTTGTATATACGAAATCTTTATTCGACTAATAGTTGAAATATTTCTTCAATTAATAGTTGAAATGTTTCTTCGATTAATGGTTGAATTTGTATTGCAAATTCATTAAGTCAATCACATTTATTATTTATTTTACTTGCAATTCATTGTAGTATCTTGTTTATCAAATTTAAACAGATGCTTTACCTTCGTTTCCGGGTTCACCACGATCACCAGGAAGACCATCAAAAGCATCTCTGCCAGGAATACCATCTCTTCCAGGTGAACCAACGACAGTTAACCCGGGGAAACCTTTTTCACCTGGTGGTCCCATAGGACCTGGTAAACCGATAGGTCCCACTCTACCAGGAGGACCGTTTGGCCCTAAAAAATTTTTTAAATTATAAATAATCACTTTTATTTTAAACAATACAACTTATTATACTTTATGAACGTAGAATACAAATTGACAATAGTTGACGTCTTGAGAAATTAGAGCAGCCAACTAATTCGAGCGCAAAAAAGTATTTTTGTAACCTATAAAATACTACTTATTTATAAAAATATACATGTAAAAATAATTGTAAAATGTACCATCATCTCCTCGTTCTCCTTTAACTGATGATCCTCTTTGCCCGGGTTCTCCCGGAGCACCTGGAGGGCCAGGTGGTCCAGAAGGTCCGATGTAACCAACGTTTCCTGGACGACCCGGTGTCCCTGCGGGTCCTTGCTCACCCATAAAACCTGTAAAAAAGTTTATGTATCGCATATAAAAATTCTTGAATTGTTTTTTGTGATAATTTTTCATACCACATCAACTTACCAACATCACCCTGGATGCCAATGCTACCTCGGATTATCTCATCAAGTTCTGGAATATAAGCACCTTTTTCACCAGCAGCTCCTTGTCTTCCAGGTGCACCAGCTCTTCCGGTATCTCCCTTTTCTCCCTAAATCGACAGAATAAAGAATTATTAGAAACGTTTTAGATGAGGTTGAAAAATAATTTATAAATAGCTGAATTACTAACTTGTGGTCCCATAGGTCCTACTTTTCCAAAATATCCAGGAGCACCCTTTTGGCCTTTGGTGCCAGGTGGACCAGCTGGTCCTGTAATACCTTGCTTTCCTCGCGGACCATCGTCGCCTTGCTCACCTTTCATTCCTTTCAATCCATCTCTACCAGCGTGGCCCTGTGCATTTATTAGTAATTGCAATTAATTTTCGGTGCGAACTGCTCTGACAGTAAAAGTACATTATCTTAATAAAAAAAAGGCGATGCAATACAGCCAAAAATATTGACAAAAGGAAAAGAAAGGGTATTTAAATTGGTCATAACTTCAAAAATTCCAAATCTCATTTGGCACATGCTCAATAGAGATAGGTAGGCTAATGTATCGGTATTGTAGAGAGAATAAGCGAATTAGAAATAAAAGATAACTCACGGCTAATCCTTTGTCTCCCATTTCGCCTTTCAAGCCGCGATCGCCAATCTGTCCACGGTAGCCTCTAATCCCTGGTGGACCCGCTCGTGCTGTTGTGTTCTTCCTGATGCTTCCTGACGATGCGGGTAAACCTTTCTCACCGCGGTCTCCTTGCTCGCCAATTTCTCCCTTTGGACCGTACATTGTATCGCCTCGATCACCTTCAAGACCTGGCAAGCCTCGTTGTCCAAGAGGACCCTGAGATGAATGCATACATTATAGAGTAATCAACATTTTCAGCATATAAGGTTACTAATAATATATTTGACTTTTCTATTTTCATTTTTAACGTAATCGATTCAATTTGGAAAAAATTTATCGTTATAATTCAACATTTGTCGATTTTGAAATAATTTACTTTATATTATTTCTAGTATAATTTTTTATATGATCTATCTATTATTATTCTTTTATGCTTTTTTACCTGTATAAACATTGCGAAATAGGTAAAAAATGAAGGCAAAGAAGACAAGTTCTATATAGTGTCAGTAAGCATCGTATGCATATGACACCTTACGAAATTCAACTCTCATTCGCAATTCTGTACTGGCTGAATGTTGGAATTTTCTCAAGATGAGATGGATGAGGCTACATAAACGTCAGCGACTCTACGCTAACGCAGGATCGTCTGTTCAGCAAAAGCTTCACATTACTTTCACCTTTAGACATTACATAGAATGTGCACGCGGACGTCTGTGCAAGGATTTGTATCCGCAAGTAATCGTCACAATATAACGTAATTGAATTTTACGTGAATTATTAATCTATTGTTTCATCTTACGGATTAGATAGCAGCGAAAAAATGGTTACTCACAAAATCACCAGTAGGTCCAGGATAACCAATATCGCCAGGAAGTCCAGTTTCACCAGGAACTCCCTAAAAATTTAAAAATATTATATAAAACAAATATGATATCAATAAAAAAAAATTAATTACAGAGAGGCCGTCGACACCCGGTTCGCCGCGGATTCCCTTGACGCCTTTAGTGTTGACACCACCTTCACCGGCATCGCCAGGCAAACCTTTAGGACCATCTGGACCGAAAGGTCCACGTAGACCATGAACGCCTGGATAACCGTCCAAGCCATGTCGCCCATCGGTACCATTACATCCATCAAGGCCATCAGGCCCTCTAGGTCCCGTAGGCCCAGCTCGTCCCTGTAATGAGAATGTTTCATTACTCTCATGAGAAAGAATAAAAGCCAAACCAGACACTTCACGGTTTCTATTTGCGCATATCAATAAAAATAAACGACTGCTCTCGTCGCGGGCAGTCAGAGTTTATGCGATGAGCTCATTGTTTGAGTCTGTATGGCTTTTTTTTGTTGGTCGACTATTTTAGACCTCCGAGTGTTTATGTCTGTCTTGATGTATAAGTCTCGCGCAGTGCGTCGGTCAATTAATTGAATCGTTTAACTTGACATGCACTACTTTAATTTACTTGTAAGATAATACTTGGTTTGATTTTTTAAAAAGAGTATGAAAATTGTGTTGAGTTTTCTGCGATAACGGAGACAAATTATACCAAATACATACCGAATCTCCATATCGACCTCTGGCACCTCGGATGCCTGCTTCTCCCTATAACCAACAAAAAAGACGGTGTCGTACACAAACATATAATTATAATGCTGTTTATGCCATATACAGTAAAACATTATGGCGATCCATATACATCTTCGGCCACATTGATGACGCAAAATCGGACTTTCACGTAACACATCGAGAAGCTTCTTTATCGAGTCAATGATTTTCGTATAAATTTGCGACTAAAAATCTCGGTTTTAGCGCAAGTGAGAGCGTGATGCATCTCCTATGTAGGCTGTACACGTGCTCACGGTTTCGTACGCGTACGCGTATTTTTCTCTTTTTATTCTCGTCGCTTCCCACGCGCCTGTCGCCACTCGGCGACGACGGATGGCTGTTTGTTTCGTTGTTCAGCTACATTTCATTCATCGCGGTTTAGAAAAAACGAAGCAACGATTCGAAATTATTTATACTCTTCACCTTATTGCAATAAAACTATACTTTATTTGTATAAAAAGTTGCTTATGTTTCGCAAGGACGATTCTTTAATTTAGATATTTAATAAATTGGGACGCACATTAGTCTCATATATATATTTGGATCGTGAGATCATCGCTCATGAGTTATTGATACGATCTATCGATACGACTTATTAATAAATGATAACACAGAAATGGAACGGCACAAATTTATCGTGCTTTCAATGAACGTGAGTACTCGAACTAATAATATTGTTATGTAACACAATTCATATATACGCGCTGGGCACCAATAACCCGATTGGTTGTGCAACCAAAAAGGACTCGGATAATAAATCAGCACGAGGGAGGTGTAACGACAAATTGCCAAGGCCTTTTAAGGAGAGAGAGTTTGTGTATCATCATCGTCTTTCACGGCCACTCGTTTTTTCTCTGAATCATCCCTTTGCAAAAGAGTATCAAAAGTTATATTCTCGATCAGTCTTCAATTTGTGTGTACGGCTCTCCTTGCTCATGATTTCTTTTACTTTGACCAATATAACACTGATTTAGGCAAATAACAGGCAATTTTAATTACTTCGATATTTAGTTTTGATGTTTTACTTATTTATTTGTTGCGATTGATCATTTTTAAATTAAATTTTGAAATTTGAGAGCGGAATTTGACGATGACTTGAATTTGTAATGACCTAGTTTATTTATGATTCATAAATTCTACGTATGAAATCTGTCTGCAAAACTAATTTAGTAACATTATTTACATATTGGATTTAAAGTTCTTAACAGTTCAATATCATAGAAATCAATTTTAATTTTCATGCGAAATATTTACTATCAGCTGTATATGAATAAATCTCTCGTCTAACAATATAAATTTTAACGAAATGAAACGATGCCTCAAAACAACGTTACTAAAAAGCTCGTTCTGTGAAATATCAGATTATTCCGGGAAACTCAATTAATTAATTTAAAAAATGAAACTTATACGCGAAAGTCAGATTGACGCGCGGGTATACACGTGGAGAATTTCGCTATCAGGCATCATGACGAAGGACGACGACGGATGTGTTACGAGAGACTTTTACTGTCAGGGTGTATATTTACGTCTGAGTGCGTTTCGTATTAACGACGCACCAGCAGCATGACCCTATAGAGCGAATGAGCCGAGGGACTAAGAAGAAAAAAAAGCCAAGCAACGAAATGTTTCGCGTGCACGTAATGACATCGTTTTAGAAAGCTTTGTGAAATGTTTTTTTAAGGACAAGATGACTTTTTTTCTCGTGAATATAAAGCAGCAAATAACAAAATTTCTGTTTTCTTGTGATAACATTTTGTGTATGAAGAAAAAATTGATAAAGCAAAATTCAATCTTGCAGAAAAGAAAAAAAAGCTTGCATAGTACGATAGCGAAACGGAAATCCGTTCGTACGCTGCAGCAGTAAACTTCAATCCTGGCAGAAAAAAAATGACTAAACTGAATAAAGGAAGAGCCAGTAGATAAAAAAATAAGGTAATATAACGAGGAACGAAAAAGAGCTCGCAAACTCGCGAGGAAAACTCCTGCGCTAGTGCAATCAAAGAAAAGACACGATATCTAAATATGAGATCACCAAGCGCATCCGGCTTTTGAGAAGTAGCAGCGAGCAGCTATTTGTCAGATGGGAAGTACGTTATCGAGCATGCACAAAAGTACACACACACGCGCGCGCGCGCGCGTAAACAATTCGTTGTCCTATATGCGCTCACAGACACACATTTACTGTATATAGAACTAATGCATTCTCTGTTTCTTTTATCCGTCTTTGTTTCATCGTTTCTTTTCATTTCCATTACGGGTGCGCGGATTTTACGCACAACCCCGATCTGCCGCGACTCTTTCTTATCGAGGACAGACCGCGTGGGCGACTGTTATACGTTGCGTCGAATTTTCCGATATGACTTTTTATTATTCATCGAGCTTTTCCGCGTTTAATTATAGACCAAAGTGAATTGTCATCGCTCGTGTGAACTTTATTATTTTATCTTTGTTGAAGTATTTTGTTATTTAATTAATTGAACGATTCAGAAGTATTCATTAATCATTATTTAGACATTTATTTATTGAACATATTAGATTACACGATTCGTTATGAAATTTGGCGAACAATTATTGGTGAAGTTTTCAATATTTTTTTCTTTATTTTTGACCCAGTAAAATACATTTACATGGCTTTTATTATCCTTTCGCGTGTTTTAATCCCTTCGACCGAGCGGCTTTTCAAAAAATACCCATCAGATAAAAAAAGTAATGCCCACCAAGTAAACGCAGCGATGATACAATCAAGTAGTGTAAATAGTTGATCAGTCAGCCGTTAGCGCAAAATAATAAAGGAAAAGAAGTCCAAAGAAAGCAACAAAACTGTCACAATAGGCTGTACGCGAAAATAATTAATGGTCTCGCGTCTATTCGTCGAGTGAAGTAGCGATAAGTCATAGTGGAATCGCGTACTCTTCTCACGAAAGCCAGCCACGTAGAGGCAGAGTGCGCGAGGGGCAAAAGAAGAAAGATAGCGGAAAAGAGAGCCTGCTGGTCGCGAACAATTTGTGAGTTTTAAGCCCGGCGACAAAGTTGTAGCACATAGATCAATCGCTGGCGCGATGCGCCAAGGCAACGATGCAAGCCAACTTGTACGTTTAGGCTGATTATTAGCTGTAGGCACCCTTCGCTCTGGATTGAATTCTCGCCGATGGGCTCTGTACGCGTGCTTTGAGTGCGTTGCCGCGGACATTCGATCGATTTCGTAAAGCGATCATTTCGTTGCTGCGCGCGCTTTTGCTCTTGAGCTTTTACTCTTCATCAAGTGCGCGATGGTATCGCGGAAATTAGCCAACTACTTGCGCTTCGGCGAACAATCTGCGCGGTGGTTGCGATTACAAATCTGCCATTAATTTAATATTTCGAACGAAAAACTACTGACACAGTTTTCAATCGGTAAACATGTTAATAATGCGCATCTCGAGCGATTTGCTACTTTTCCAGATAAGCCAACGATCGAGGAAAATAGAAAAATCGATTGACGTTCTTACATCCAACGAGACGATATAGCGTTCAGATGAAAATCACAAAACGTCAATTTCGCAGAGAGACTTAACTGACCTAAAATTAGCGCGACTGCACAGACGCGACGAAGCGCTGGCGTGGAAAGAAAATTGAATAATGGTTTACTCTAAAGTAGAGCCTCTGCTGCGGGACACATTGCGAAAGTCCTGCGTGGCGAAAAAGCGATCGTTCGCCGGCGCAAGTTAAGATTGACGAAGATGTCGACGAGCAAGAGCGGCCAACTAGCAATTTGCCGGCTCTGGAAGTATATATAAGCCATGCCACTTGCTAATGCACATACCAAAATGCTGCTAACTGCTGCTTCAGGCTTGATTGCTTCCGCACGCTCATGCTCGAGCGTTCGCGTTCCTTTTGTCTGTTTGGCTTTCATTATTAATCGTTACATTTTGCCCTCGACTGAATCCAGTTCGATTGATTTTTTTTTTTTTTGCTTCCACATTCGCAAAACAGTCGTTTTTTCTCCATTTAATTGGTAGAATAGAAATATTATATTCCACGACATTTCATTCTGGAAAATTCAGTTCTAGTTGTGCAACCTCTTGTAGAAATTGTAAGACCAGGTTACAATGGAATTCAATCACGCTGCGTCGTATTAGATTACAAGATCTCATCTGCAGGCTCGACAATGAAGATTTATCAAACCTAAGCTCATTCTTGAACTTTGTTAAACTGAAGAGTTTTCCATCTATAAAATATTTTACGTGAAATTTATCTCGATGGACTCATTTATCGTTTCCCAGCTAATGCAGCTAAAGCATTTTCAATAATTTATTAATTGAATCAGAATCTAGCCTGTGCGTGTAGTTAAAAAAAAAACTGAGAATTCAATCCCAATTGATACGTCGTATTCAAGAGAAGCGCAAGTAGTCAGATAACGCAAGAAATACCGCAATTATTGTTCCTTCACATGCGTCGTCATTTTTGAACATATGTAGAAATTACGAGCGGAAATGCGTTAACGCGCTCGCCTACTCTTCCGCGGAGCGATAAGAAGCGATGCGGTAGTGTATGCACATGGTATGCCATCACCTCTTCGTTAGGAAGTCACATACGGGAATAGTACGTTTGAAGTTTTCCAATGGGAAATCTCGTTATCAATCGGAGCCATTATTATATCGCGCGTGAATATGATCGACCGTCACGCGATCACTGATTTCTTGGTTAATTTTCTTGCTCCGACACAATGCCTGTTCCAAGTCTTCTCTGAGATGATTTTCATTTTCAACGGATCAAAGTGTACTTAATGGCACGAATCTCGAAGTCGGTGCGGTCTTTTTCTCCCTCGCAAGTGTACGACCACGAACGTTGAAGGTACGGCAGGCGGGGAAAAATCGAGGATTGGAAAAAAAAACAGAAAAAAAAAACCGGAGAGCGATGCATTCGTAAAATGCAATTCCGCCACTCGAACAATTTCGCTGAGAGAGAAGCAGACTCTTTCCCGGCGTATATAGGTGTAGGTTAAGCAATATGGCCTACATTCCAAAAGGCTTTGCCGTAGCGGCCGCAGAGTAGCAGCAGCTCGTTCATTCATGAAGAATCATGAAAGTGTGAATGAATGAGCAGGCTAATCAGTGGAAGAGAGAGAGAGAGAGAGAGAATGAGATTGAGAGAGGAAGTGCATCTCTCGTTAGAAGCCCGCCGTTTCAGTTTGATAGCGTATTCCGGCTTTTCTCGTCTATACGCTTTTATGACTTATCGTACGACGCGCGTACGGTGCACGCGCTAAATAAAAATAACCCAACGCATCGTCTTCTTTATATTTGTGGCCGTGTCTCTTTGTTCGCACTTCATTATCGATGTGCGAAGCGCGCGATATGAATTTAGCGCTCTAGATCGTGGCTCTTATTTTTTATTTTCAATCGCAGCTGCTTTCCGTTTTTCCGACGCGATAATACTCGGGGCGATGCTGTGTCGCGTCGTTGTATCGATTCTTGACGCGAGCGATTCGGTGCCATGGCAATTTTAAGCAGACTGGCTTTTATTCGACGTTGTATTAACAAGAGAACGGCATTACACAGGGATGACTGTCGCACTTTACAAGATTATTCGCTGACTTATTAACAGTCTACCGATAATAAAGCACAAAGAATCGATCTGTCATGCTTCTCGAGAAATGAACTGTCTCGCACTAGAAAGCCGCTTCGGGAAGCCAACAGGCCGTCATCGTCGTCATCGATCTAGAATTAGCCGTTAGCGTGAAAGTGAGCAGAGCTTCAAAAGGCAGTGGCGACTACTTGAGCGCGCGTGCGCGTATGTAAACATCGCGTACACTCGCGGATCCTCGTAGTCTGGCGAGTTGTATCGGGGTCATTGGCATCAGCGCGACTGCTGTGTTGTTCTTTCTTTTTCTCCTTTATCATGTCCAACCGCACACGGCCTACTTCGGCCGGATACGCGTATGCGTTTCCTAGCCTAATTTTCGTCCCTTTCGAGCCTTCTTCTTCCCGGATACAACTTGATTTTCGGATGCCAATGATTAATCACCAGCCGAGTGGGCGAGTTCGGTTTCTTCTTTATTTTTTCTCGTGCCTAATTTCATTCGGCGCGACTTCTTTATCCGGATATATAGGTCGGCACTGGCGCTGCGGGATATGTAAGTTTGTGCTTTCGGCGTTCCCCGCGATTGAAAATCCAGCCTGGCAGTGCTCGGTAGGTTGGGAATACGAAGCTGATGTAACGCGCGGTCCAAGTATGCGCTCGGGCGAACGCTCGAGTCTGGCGAGAATACGATTTGCATGGGTGCAATTCCTGATCTACGCGTTTGAATTCGTGACGCTTGCCAAGCGATAATACCCCGCTTGAACGGCATATGCTCGTCCTGAAGTACTCTCTTTGTTGGCACTACATGCGCGGCTAGACGCGCACTGAGACAGTAATTTGCACCAACTGTGCGCGCGTTAAAGCAAGATGCCGAAGAATTGTAGCCAATTAAGAAATTCGGGACAAATTCATTTCTTCGACAAGAAGTTCCCTAATAGCCTAGCCATTTTTTCTCTCTCTTTTAATGTTTGGCAAACCACGCGCCCTAAGCTCACTTTATTCTAATTTACTTTTATCGCATTCCTCTGCTCTCCGAGGCTCTTGAATAATTGCGCGCTCGGCGTCATCTTTAAAAGCATATAAAAGAAAATTTAACGAGGCGATAAGTGTGTCAGCTTCATTTGCTTTTTGCAGACAGTCAATTCATTGTTCCTTCAAGAGATAGAGAGAGAGAGAGAGAGAGAGAGAGAGAAAGGGCGACCGCCGCTGAAATGGAAGCTGTTCAGATTTATTTGATTACGATTAATCGGAATCTCATTCGGCGCAAAATTAAAGCAGAGCAGAACCGTGAATTTTCTCTATCTCTTTTTCTCGTTTTCTGCGGAGAAGCTTTCGCGTAATGCGAATTTGGTAGCGTATGCACGTAACACGCATAGAGCATGCGATTTATATGCACATGAAGCTTTCGGCTGCGCCTGGCGAAAGAGAGAAGCGCTCGCGCGCCAGATTCATTTTCTTTTTGCATCATTCCGGTTTGCACTTCATACGCGGAAGCGCGTCCGCACGTTCGCGAACAGCCGTATTTCAGTTGATAAACCGCTGATTGAAAGCTTCTCGGTATTTTACGAGCGGCGCGCGAGCACCGCGTTTTCCTCCCTAACAACCTTTATTTTACGCGCGTATACAAATTGTTGGTTGTTTTTTCCTTTTTTCCGTCGACCAGAGTGCGCGCTCGAGTCGCGTGCTTGCGCGGAGCATAATATGCAGCTCTTGGTCGGCGTGCGCGGCGCGCGACGTATATCTGGGTAATTGTTACGCAGATAGGGATCAATGCCAAACTGCTGTTGGATGTAGCGCAATTCGCGATTAACCGCCCACACGCCGTCTATACTTCACGTCCATCTTCTCCAATTCGCAGCTTGCACAAGCCGCAGCACGTCCGCCGCTGTCCCCGAGTTGTTTGCGCTCCGAACGCGCAAACTGATGATGGGCATCAATTAAAGAGTGCGAGAGTGCACGAGTCCGCTCATTTGCATCGCGCCGGAGATAGCCGCGTTTCATTTTTCCCTCTTTCTTTCGCAGCCAACAATTGAAACGAAGTTCTCGCGCTGGCTTGTCATCCTACGATTAATTATCACTTCTCTCCGTTCGCTTTCTATTAACATCGACCCGCCCATCGGCAGCTTTTACTCTCTACTATGCTTTGGCTGCACTGGACGCGTGTTTTTAGCTTGCCATTTTTATCTCCCAATTCGTTATTGCTATGAAACAAAATGCTTACAACGCGCACAAAATATCAAAAAACTTATTGCATCTGATATTCATGTATGCGTTAAACAAGGTTGACATCTTCAAAGCGTCGCCGTTCATCATTTTCTCATCAATACAATTGTTTCCTATTTCAATTTTACTCGGTAACGCCTACTGCTGGTTATGACGCACACGTCACCTACGCCACTATAAAAAATTACAATCTTAACCTAATTAATTAAACGGCGTTTCCATCACGGACAATTGCAGCTGCTTTAGCTCTTATTCGAATCACATAGGTTTGACGGAACGATTCGCTATATATTTCTTCACACCTCTAAGCATTATCACGTGCGCGCAGTTCTTTTTACGGCTCTTATTTCGACATTAAAGTTGGATACAGATCGAACAGTAACACGCTAAAGTTTGTTCTTTTTCAGTTTCCGCCGAATTCAACTCGTCATTGTCGGCACTAGCATGCGTGAAGAAGCTTAACAGCTTTTATCTGGGTCACCGGCGAATTTTTCAATGCGCTTACGAGATTACAAATAATGCTATATAAGCTTTCTCGTTACAATCGGATCACATAAGATTTGTTTTCAATAATTTTCTTTTTATCGCGTATTGCTTGACGCGAGTTTAACAAGCAGTGAAATTCTCTTTAAGTGGTTACGAACGATATTGGTGCGTTACTTCAGTTTTTCACTGAATATTAATCTCGACAGAGTTTGCATTGGAGAAGTTCATTATTATCAGAGAATGCTGTTTGCTAGTTTGATCCTCGAATTATTTTTAATAATAAATTCGCAGTATTGGAATCAAATGAATTTAATATCAATTCAATTTATTATTATTACTTATTATTCTCCTATATTTCATCAGTATAATGCAAATGTAAATTCAATCTGAGTTGGAAAAATAATGTTTATGGACAATATAATTAGTTGAGTGTATGTAATTTCACTTGACGAAACTACTCTGGCAATTTTTATTTTCTTCGGCAAATGAATTAAAGTCGAAGGGGTTCCGTTCCCGAAGTCTGCCGCCACATAAATGTATATGGAGTGTTTATGCATGGAAAAGAGGATAAATTTGTGTGCTGCAGGCTCATTAACAGAAGATAAATATTTTCACAGATGCTTGAGTTCTTTTCAAAGGAGCGAGAGAAAAAGAAAGGATGATTGTACAACTTGTGATTTCATTTTAATTGAAACACAAATTCATTCTCTTCTTCAATAAATGTCAATATTTGAAAGCGTATATTGTATTTTATTTTACTTACCCGAACACCTTTCTCGCCGGTAAGACCGATTTCACCTCCTTGACCTTTTTCACCTTTTGGTCCTGGCGGACCATCGGGACCAAGTTCACCGTGTTCTCCCCCAGGGCCTTGCATACCCGGAATACCGGGTGTGCCTAGATCTCCTTTTATTCCTTTGCAGTCGCATTTGTAATCGCTGCATGACTATAACAAATAAGCAATACCATTTTATAATGCAGGTGCAAAATACAAGTGACATACTTAACAATTGTTTCATAGGGAAATAACATTAAGATTTACTTTATTTTTACTTGTCAGATTATATGGGACATTGATATCATTTGCGTTTAAACACGTAAACACGATCTATCAGATCTGACTTATTTCTATCAGCCGCATTGTGAATGAAATTTCGTAATGTAGTAGTGCTACTGATCAGTACGACGACCTTTGATGTAATTGGCTTATCGCCAAAAGTTAAAACTTTTAACGAAATCATTGCGAGAGAGGCATAATTATCACCAAACTGAGAGAATTAAAAATAACTGCTGATTTATAATTTTATGCTCGCTTTGAATTTATTCAACTCAAAATTGAGAAAAGAAATTGATAAATGCTCAGTTTATAATGTAAATTTTTTGCAACTTCATCCGATGGCTAGTTTTACCTCAAAACGGCAACTGATTGTAAATATGGAATCTTAAATCTTCAGAATTACAAAAAAGAAAATGGAAAACAAGAAAAAGATTAAATTTTCATATTTTTTCAGCAGGCTCAGGCCAAAAAAAGCAATTCAAACTGCGTTTGATTTATCATCTCCCCCTGACTAGTCTTGAAGCGTATGCAGACATCAAAGTGCAAACACGCACTTCGTATACTTCTACTCGAAGTTTCACAGAAACGCGAGAAAGTTATCGAGTATAAATGCCCGAACTCGCGGCCTCCAAAATATTTACCTTATCTCTTAACACATTACTCAATTCCGTGCGGATCGGATGAACGCAATTAACGCAAATTGAACTTTCGGAGAGCTTCATCAATTGAAAACTCTCGTAATTCAAAAGCGAGTCATACTCGTGTAAATGAAGGCGGGGCAAAGAGGCCAGACGGTTGAGACGAGCGACAGAAAACATAAATACTCCCGTAAAGCGTACGGATTTGTTTGGAGACGCTGTAATTTGGAGAAAAAAAAATCTGCCTGAACGCGGGTGGACGTATTTTAACCATCTGCGCGAGCCCGTTTCCGAGAATGACGACGCAGCCCTAAAAAGAAATAAGTAGCGTAATTCAGTTCCTGTTTTGCTTAATTTCGCGACGACGATATACACGAGGTTTATATTCGGAGCGCTCGCGGATTGCAAAATTTTATAGGGCGCCTTGTTTGAGAATTGGAAATAGATCGTTATTTTCGAAAGGAAACACACACACAAGTGCCAAAACGCCGTGTGCTTTTACTGCCTGTTTTCATACGGAGCGTTAGGCCTACAAGCCCCTTCTTTCGAATTCCAAGTCGCGCGGTTTGTTATGTTAAAACCATGGAGCTCGCGGACATCGACGCGAGCGGCGATTATTATCGCAGACCGTCTGAGCTCGCGTGTGGCTTCGATTTCGCACATTTGCAAATGTGAATCAGTGTTGACGAAGAGCAGAAAGAGACGGTCTCGCGATAGTAAATGACACGTCGTTGCAGTGTGTACGCGCGAGTGCTACAGCATCGTTCGATTGCCCCGAGAGCGTTCTCAGTGCCTTTTATTCGCAGCTCGTTATCCGTCGTGCTGGCATCACTTGTCATCGCGGCGAACGATGAAGCAGTTCAATGTAAGCGCGCCGCACATCGATTATCCGCGACCAGGCAGTCCGAGGAATTTTCTCGCGGATCTAGACAAACCAATCGCGTCGTGAGTGTCGACTTGCGAATCGGTCGAGTTATAAATTTGGGTGAGGCTGCGTGGCAACGTTATCGAATGTTTCCCATTGACACTGAATGATTCCAAGCTCCAAATGAAAATGAATCGTTGAAACGACAAGCCCGGCGCGCAAAACGGTATACCTGGGCAAGCGATTTGACGTAAAAGTGCTAAATTCATCGTGGGTATTCAACGCTTTACGGGGTTGTTGAACCACCCCGCCTTTTCTTCTCGCTCCTACCATTATACCATTGTACCATTGTGCATTTTTATGATTTTCCTAGAAGTTCTATTTATAATAAGCGTTCTTATGATCTCGCGCACATTTTTCATGCGGCGATTGCAGGGCCTTCTCTTCTCTTGCGAACTATTTTTAAAGCGAAGCCCGCTCTCGTTTGCACTACGTAGTCATGATGATCATATCATTAACGTTGAGATATGTTAAATGACGCGCGTGGTTATCTTGGCAAACAATGCCAGTAGCCTTAATATTTATCAAGCTATCGCAGTATTGTATTATACTTGTTGTAGAAGACTAACTGGTTTGCGCTTGTAAATAATGCGCTGGCTTGAAAACAAACGATGCTCACGCGAAATTCACGCAAGCATCTTCGAACATTGGATTTGGCATGATATAGGCCATTGCGATCACGTGGATAAAGGGCCGTTTGTTATATTTTTATCGAGAATCCCTTCGACAAGGTCAAGCGTTGACTCATCAAATATGAATTCGCAATGCAGGACTCACATAGCCTTCTGAAAATTATTCTGGCAGTCAAATTATCCGAAATTCAATTTCTATGTCAGTTAAAATTTTAATGACACGTCAGTCCAAAAGTTTTCGCGTTTGGCTTGCTCGGCAAGCTTTATCACGTCGAAAGTTGGTAAAATCATGGTGAGAAAGAGAGAGGTCAAACGGGATAATATGCAATTTCATAATCCGGCACGTTGAGTAACCGATAAAACTTGCGCCCCGAATCTCTTAATCTAATTACGAAAGTGACACAATAGTACCCAATTCGCAAACTTACGAATTGTCAATGTCTTTCAAAACATTCGGAATATGTGTCAAAGGATGAGTCTGCTGGACTATGCTGTCAATGCGTTTGCAGGCGACAAAGTGCGTTTACGTACGTGATTGATTCGAGAGGATCGTACAAATCGTTTGATACGACACGTGCGCGCGCGCACATACTTGAATGATAGTGCGCTTGCGGAATGATCGCATGCCCGCTGGATGCACGCTGAGAATGCTTGGCATAATCGGAGCGAAACACGAGATTATACGTGTTCGCTGACATTTTTCGCACTTTGCCCGCGGGACAGTATGCCAGCGCGATATTAACATTTATGCAATATACGGCCTATCGCTATTTAAAGATTGCGATTCTGGGCCAGTGATTAACGCGGATCTTGGCAAGCTCGTGGAACTGTTTCGAGCGATCGGTTTCCAAAAAAGCCCCTGCCCACGGAGGCCTACAGTGGGTTTTCACTGCGCCAGCCGATGTGCATCGGCGCGCTTTCGAATGACCAAACGAATATCCCGATACATTTTTCGTCGGCGCGCGCTCGCGCCAAGCTCACTCGGTTTATTTACGCTTTCCTGCGCGGCCATCGTTCTAGCTTTATTAAAAAGCAGCCTCGTCGTCGCTAACCCACTTTCCAATCGAAAAATAACGGACAACGCGTCGCCGCGTAGCTTGAGCGGCGAGACGCATCGCGCCAGTGCAGAGGTTTTGATTAATCGGCGCGCGACCTCGGCTGGCCAGGCACAAGTGCACAATCGTGGGCGCGCGTAGGCTTGTAGATGCCTGCTGCACTTGAGCATTTGCAGACTCCATAAAAGCTCGGCTTAGCTCGTCCTACGTGTGCGTCCTCGTTTCGCGAATACCTTCGTCGTCGTTGTCGTCTTTTTCTTCTGCTTCTTCTTCTTCTTCTTCTTCTTCTTCTTCTTCTTTTTCGTTTTTTTTCGGAGTGAGACGACTCTAAATCTTTCGCCGAGATTGCTTGAAATTTTTTTTCGGTTGCCGGATTTTTTTTTGATGCAGGAAAGAGAAAGTACTTCTTTGATTTTTGCTTGAGGGAAAGGAATGTCTGCGTATCCGTGTGTGTGTGTGAGTATTTTTTTTTTCGTTGTCTCCGTATATATGATCTGTTTCATGTGTACGCAGACTTATGATCTTTTTCTTTTGTATATGTACATGTTATCCGTAGTAGATTATTCAGTTGGTAGAATGTTCAGTGTGGTCTCGTTAACAAAAAACAAAAAAAAAAGAAACGTATTTTTTTTATTTTAAAATGAAAAACTTTTACAAGAGTATTTTCAAGTTTTGAATGAAAAAAGTGATGATCAAGGGATGCTATCGGTTTGTTTTCAAGATAGTCTGTGTCACCGAGTTTCATGCAATATTTTCTTAAAATAAAGATGACAAATCTTATGCAAAAAGGAAGATTATTTTTAATACTGTGATTTAACTTCATGAAAATAAATTTGCAGTTGATCTGTGACAGTTTTTACAAATGACGATGTGATTTAAAATAATCATCAAGCTTTTAAGATTTTTTGTTCAAGTTATAATCCACTCAAGGTAAATGCGACCCAAGAGAGCCGTACTACTTGAGCCCTCGGAATAATCAAACGACGCATAAAGTGACAAGTAGGCTTGGACGGTATATGGGGCAAGAGGGGAGCCGTAAAAACGCACGACGAATCGGAAAATCTAATCGAGTCGTAAGAGGGGCGCTCGGATGTCAAAATTCTCAAAGGTTATTTTCAGCTCGATCGTTTATACACGCGCGCGCAAGGTGGCTTCTGGAAAACGATAGTTTGTCTCGTAATCTTCCGATTCATCCTACAGGAATTAACAGTACGCGTATTTACACACGAGCTGCTATAAGACACGAGTTACAGCTTTTCAACGGCAGCAACGTCGTCGTGCAATAAACTTTTTTAGCGCGAGTTTGAACGCACATCAAACCAGGCTCCCTTTCGTTTACAGACGCTATTATATTGTTCTAACCGAGTTCTATTCGTAGACTGCTCGCTCCAGCAACTTCGAGCTTTTAACAACCTCTTTCTGGCTTTTTCCTTATTCATTTTCGATGCAGTTCATTTTATTTTACTTTATTTCTTTTAAGAAAAATAGTTATTTCCGTGTTTTTCGACTAAACGATTTTTGGCAATTTGATTTCTACTTTTTCGTCAAATACGTGGCTTTCAGGAAATAAAAGCGCACATGTAATGCGAATTCTCGGATGGTGTAACATGTACGCGCAGTGACCTACTAACTAATGCAA